TGTCTACATCAGTGGTGCTGAGGTGTAGCAGGTGAACAGTTTTAAGTTCCTGGGAATCAACATCACAGAGAACCTGACATGGTCATCTCACATCTCCACTTAACAAGGGAAACAAAAAAATATCCAAAGATAGCTGGAATCAATGTTTCTAACAGGAGTCCCGCACAGTACCAACTAAGCTAAACGTGCTAAAAGGATTTGAAATAATATGACTTTGTTCTGGCCTGCCATGTAACGGCTTAAAAAAAAGTTGGCCCAATGCCAGACTTATTTGCCGACCCCTGCTGTAGATGCTACAATGGCATCATGTTCATTACTGAAAACACAAGGCGATATCCCCCATTGAACAGGATGGATTGCTCGAGTGAGAAGACATGAGAATTTAATAGCTGTTTGGGAATTAATAATGCAGCAGCATGATGGACACTTGGAGATTTGACAGGGATGGCTAGAGATCAAACAGCACTGCAAAATGATTTTTCTCTGCCAAAATGTCAAGATTAACACTGAAGGAAATTACCAGATTGATGTTGCGGGGGCAACCATGGTCACAGTGAAAATATTCAACAACACCCAAATCCTTAGTTTCAGATTTTTGGGGGATGGCTGTCACATGCAAATTGAAATCACAGCAGAAACATACTTGGTAATCATAGTCATAAACAAAAGTAGGTCAGACAATTCAAAAACAAAATCATAATTGGGTTTTGAAGGACAATGAATCAATCCACAGAAAACAGTTGGAACTCTTAGAATAGAAAATATGAGCATTACAAAAGAATTTGAATTTACCGAATTACCGAAATCCTGCATCTAAAATGTTTGTTGTTGAATAAATGCAACCTTCCAACCCTACTGAAGAATCAATACCTAGCGGGAATAAAATGGCTAAATGCATTAACAACTAATCTTCTTATTAAAGAAATGTTGTCTGCACAGGAAATAAATACTTACACACACGGAGAAACATTTAAAGCTTTTTTATTAATTCCATTATCACATTACTGATATTTATGCATCATATCACAGTGGCTTAGGGTTGTTAACTATCACAGGAATGCTATATGACACGAGTGAAAAGGTGTTGCACTAACAGGGGTCAGACTTGCTGTGCATTGGATGCTAAAAGCATTGGAATAGGAAAGGTTAGAATGGCTGAGCTTGTTGCCTGTTATGAACTTGTCCACATATGGGTCACAGTAATGTCCTATACCTAAACAAAAAATTGTTTTGTCACTTAGTTTTGTGACCCATATAAACATTCCAAAAATGGTTCGAGTGAGTATTTCCTGATCTGCCATGTTTATGGTGAAGTTTAAAGTGTAGGTAACTAAAACTGCTAATTAAGGTTATGGTTTGAGAAAGATCATAGTCAGGCTTAAAAATATCCAGCTGTAGGGAATTATGGTTTATATAGCATCAGTATTTATGTTAAATAATGGTTCACCTTGGGGCACCATTCTTAAAGGAGAGTAAATTGGTAGTCAATTGACTTTTCATTTCCCCATCATTCCCAGGCAGAGGAAATTTCTTTACTTCTCATTAAGGGGAATCCATTTTATGTTACATATTTCCTGATGGCTATTTCAGAACCTTTGAAATAGCCATCGGGAAATGTGTGATTGGATTCCCCTGAATCTCTTCATAACAACTTTTCCGAAGAGGATACTAAAAAACACACAAAAGAAGAAAAAAATGTCATCAAGAGCAGAATTCTAGGATTGCAAGTCCTGTGCTCTACCAACTGAACTAACCAGTGACACTGAAAATATTTCTGAAATTATCCTAAAGAAACACACCTGTCGACCCCTGTATTCAGCTATGGTTTGTTATCTCGAGATCACAAGAAAATTTACTGGTTATCACGGGAAAACAGCATTCGTTATCTTGAGATCACGAGAAAATTATCCCCTTATCACAGGATAATGGAGTAAAAGAAAAATTTGAATGGATGGCCGCTTAGGGCTTCCGTATTTAATAGCTAGTAGGTTGCAGGATTTGGAGAGTCAACACAAGTGTTGCAGACAAAGAACAGAGCTTTTTCTCCGCACTAAACAGTCCTGTGCTTAGCCGAGTTAAGCTATGTGAAGCAATATAATGTTCATGTACATTACCAATCCATTAAGGAAGAAGTTGCTGTGGTGTGCTCCTTGTTAGCTGGCGATTCAAATGCAGATGGAAGAACCGGTAGTTCCATCTGTTCTCCTCAAAGTTAGCCACTCGGTGTAAAGCTGCCTCATTGCTCTTGTTTGTTAGCCTGCAGACTTGGTAACTAAACTTGCTGCGGGGATCTTGCAAGCTTTTTTATGGTGCTGCTGTAAGATTAGAGTCCTGTTCTGCTGTGTGTCTGCTACAAGCAGGACAAACTGGAAGACTGCTAACCCTTTTATTGACCTGAGTACATCATGGGTCATAGCTTACACTGAACACTGGTAGCTGAATGCTGGGTCCACGGGCGGAATTCATACCTATGTGTGAATACCTGGAGTATTGTAGGAGTTCAATGGCTGAGTTTCTTCACAACAGTTCAGTTTAGGTCACAAATTAACAATTTTATCTGTGGAGTTCCAGTGGTCACAACAATATACCAACTGTTGGTAGGACACAGATGCAAACAGTGGGCTCTATTTTCAAAGTCAGACACCCACCTTACCACCCACCACAACAATGCAACACATACAGTGGACTCGTCATACAGACCAAGCCAAACAGTACAAATTTGTGCTTATTTTCTGGCAAGTGTCAGGTTTATAGAAAACAATGTTCTGATGTGTCATATGTTGCCAGTTTGTGTTGCCCTTAAGACAATTATATAGATCCAAAACAATTAGTTGATTTAGAGATATTTTGGAAATTAGAGAGAGAGAGAGAGAGAGAGAGAGCCCACAACCAGAAATCCCTTGTCATGAAAAAAACATCCAACTAATGCTGTTGTTTTTCTCGTGATGTCCTGTCTAATTTTACAGTACAACCTACTTGGTAGGCAGAATTACATATCTCTCTGCACCTGCATAAAAACTACACCAATGCATGTCACCAAATTACTCTTGATAGACATTTGAGGGTTATTGATGGATGGGAAAGAGTTTGTCACCCATGGTTATAGGGACAGGTTTTCAGGGAACCATATACACAACATATTTTGTTTTTAGTTCAATTTATAGGTACATACTGCTCACTTTCCTAAATGGACTGTGAGTTCTTGGTGTGAAATCAAATTCCTGCTCTTCTTATTTTATTCCATATATCAGCCAACCGGAAAACGCAAGTCTTTAGATCTGTCTCCAGGTCTGCAGTAATGAGACTGCAGTAATGGATCTCCAGGGGCCGACTCTGTTTGGCTGGTCTGCAAACAGCGGTCAGCCGTCACATCATGGCCAACTCTGGTGGGCACGCATCATTAGCCCGTGTTTTCACACTGCTAAACACTCATTATTACTGACAAACACATACACGTATAGGCATAAAAGAGTACAAACAGAGGCACACATGCATACAGAAAGACGTGTAAATGCAAATACATCTTGATTCTGGGGTGGTGGAATGTCTGAAGCGTCATTGCTGAAGTTACAAAGGAGCTCTGTGGAATAGTATTCTGCTGGAAACCATGACTGTGCCACTTTTAGCTCTTTTTGTGTATGTGCGTTTGTGTTCTTGCTTTCATTGAGCCAATCCAGACAAAAACAGAAAGAGAGAGGAACTCGAACAGTGTCATACACAGCTGAAAAGTAAAAGAAACTGAAATATATTGTAAAGGCAGTGAAAGGCAAAAATAAATACTGGCAATGTTCAAGTGTTAACAAGACTGAGTGGTCTTATTTAAAGAGTGGCAATGTGTTCATTAGCTAATTTTATGACTCTCACAGTAAATCAGCAATTTATTTTTAAACTTCAAGGACTGAATGGATATACAGTAGAATATAGCACCCAGATCGTTCTTGGGAGCAAAAATTGATTCTTTCAGTTTGTCTCCAAGGTGGAGGGAGTAAAATGTTGGACCTTCTTAATGGCAGCATGTGCAGCATTCATAATTGATGACAAAACGTGTTATGTTTTGTCTACCTTCTACCTGTGTTGGAAAGGGACGGGCATGGGGACATGCAGAGCAGACAGTATTTGAAAACCACACCACCGGTGATTGTCAGTTTATTTGTCAGTAATTCTCAAAATTTGCAGCTAACCAATACATTTTCCTAGGAGCCTTTACTGATATCAGTGCATGTGTGTGAATGCAGTTGTATGAAAAAGCTTTTGTCCTTTTCCTTGCCCTCTCTACCATTCAGTTCATGGTGAGTAAAATGACTGATAACTACACAAAGCAATGAGGAAGCAAAAGAAAGAACAGACCACTAGATAGATGGAGAGAAAGCAAGAACTCAGCCATGTGGAGTCTCATTGAGCATTTTCAATTCATGTCAGAAATATAGTTAAACACGCTAGTCTTGTTGCGTGTGTGTATACAAGTATATGTGTACTCTAAGTGTGTGTGAGTGACAGATGATTGCCTTTTTTCCTCAAAGTATTGAGTTGGACTGCTTGTTATTTGTGGATGTATGACCAAAGGGACCATGATGTTCCCAAAGATAATGTCCGCACTTACAATCTATTTCCCCCTTTTTTGTTGTAGCTACTGCTTCTCATTTCCTTTCTCATTACCTGTCACTCCTCATTGCTCTTTCTCTCAGCTTTTCTGACTTTTCCATTCCATTTTTTCTGTCAGCTTTCTGCCCTCACTTGCTTGTCTAATGTTTCTGATCTAACTAAATTCTTAATCTTTATTTATTATAATTGCCTTAAATGGCCACTATACAAATATTGAATTTTCATCTCTCCAACAATTTTGTTTTTGTGGTGTGTAATGAGCTTACAACTAAATGGCTGAAGGGGCATTTTTTTCTGTCTTATCCTTCCTTTTCTTATCTCCTATGTATTCCTATCATCTACCCCTTCCTTATATTGTCCAATCTCTCCTTTTTGTATTTGTCACTATGCTGTGCCAGCCAGAGGAGCTCACTAATGTTCTGGAGATCTGCAACATTGTCTTCACCAGCATGTTTTCCTTGGAGATGATCCTCAAAATCACTGCATTTGGCTCCTTCAGCTACCTGAGAAACCCCTACAATGTCTTTGATGGAGTCATTGTCATCATAAGGTATTTACACTATATATATATATATATATATATATATATATATATATATATATATATATATATATATATATCTCCAGTATTTCAGCAGGAAGAAGAAACAAAAAAGTGGCTTTGGAGGACAAAATCTTTATGTTTTTGAAATAGTGACTGATGTAATTCAGGTAACATACGTTACTTGGTTTGCCAGTCTGTTCTCGAAAGAGATTCTGCAGTTAAATTATCCACAGTATGCTTTGTCAAATTGTCACCTGCGTTCTACATTGGTTGAAATGTACCACCTGTATGTATTTGGATGCCAACGCGTCAGACAGCAGAAAACAGGTTTTGTCTTTTGTTTTATGTGCCTGGAGCTTCAGGTGAGTGGCTGTGCCTTTGATCTGCTAGCGTTTTTTCCAATTCATCTGGCTGAGCGCCTTTGTCTGTGATCCCCATTATAACCCTGAGATCAAATACACATCAAAGCAACTAAAACTGAACAAGATCAAATGGGCAGCCCGTCACAGAAGATACATGTTGATTGAACATATCTACATCTGTCTTCTTATCTCTCTCCACAACCAATTTTCCTCTCTTCATCTATCTGAATGTCCTCTGCTTTTCATACAGAGATGCTCAGTAAAAGTGCTTCTATGCAATCTTTGCCAATGCAGAGCTGATACTATTTGATGTGCTGAGTAGAGCCCTTGAGAGGCACCTCCATTAGAGGACAAATAGCTTTAAAGCCAGATTTTCCACTAGGGAATGGTTCTCTTCTCATGATAAATACCTACCAGATCTCAAAGGTAAAGGAAAACTTATTTGGTTGTTCCGCAGCAGAAAATTGCAATTAAGTAGTGCATTAAGTATTTAAGTAAGAGTTTGATTTATAATGTCCAAAACTTAAGTAATCTCTTAAGTGGACACACATTAATTACAACAACATAAGATAAACCAAGCATTCCTTATGTTCCCCAAGAATTAGCGAGGTATTCAGTTCATATTATCTTTAAGCAATTAATCAATGATGATTCCATATTCCAAGGCATAAAAGGGGCCTATCATGAACATCATTACTAATGACTTCCAATATCTATATGAATATATGCAATGATAATCTATTACCCTGCGAACAAAGACCTCAAAAAAATACAACAAAATCAGCAACAGTGAGAGTTTGATGATCACCATACTTATCGTAGGTTACTTAGGGAATAATTGCAGAGAAACCAAGAATTTGACTTTAATTTAGCATGATTATATACTCTAAAACCACATATTACATGTTAATGAACCAAAATGACCACTACTGGAACATATTTTTCCTTGTATTATCCATCTGCTGCTAAAGCACACAAACACTTTATTACAAACAGCATGTGCAAATGTGCTATAGTATAACATACATATAATGTCTCTACTTTTTACTGTCAAACTGTTTTGTGCAATGTATTTTTCATATTGTGTAATATATTTTTATACTGTGTAATATATGTTTATACTATAATATACACTGAACAAAATGATAAATGCAACACCTTTGTTTTTACCCCCATGCATCATGAGCTGAACTCAAAGATCTAAGACTTTCTCCATGTGCACAAAAGGCCTATTTTTCTCAAATATTGTTCACAAATCTGTCAGAATCTTTGTTAGTGAGCACTGCTCCTTTGCCAAGATAATCCATCCACCTCACAGGTGTGACATAAAAACATTGGCATTTGATGTAAAACAATATTGTCAGTGTACATAATCCAGGATTTTGCAGAATTGCCACTATCAATGCCAAGAGGATATCTGGCATTTAGAAGCAAATTTAAAAACTCTTTCTAAATTGGATTTCTGTTGAATCTCTATGGTGCTATATCACTTGGTGGTGGAAAACCAGCATTGTATGTATTTTTATGTAAGATTAATTCTTAATTCTTTTATTTTGCTTGGTTGTCTGTGTGGTCTGTGTCTCCTCTCAGTGTATGTGAGATCGTCGGCCAGTCCGACGGAGGTTTATCTGTACTTAGGACCTTCAGACTGTTGAGGGTGCTGAAGCTTGTAAGGTTCATGCCAGCTTTGCGAAGACAGCTGGTGGTCCTCATGAAGACCATGGACAATGTGGCCACCTTCTGCATGCTGCTCATGCTCTTCATCTTCATCTTCAGGTAAGGTCATACATGTGCATGCTGCATATGGATACCTTTGTATGCTGGTGTCTCATTCTGATGCAGATCTTAGAAGACAATCTGTCTGTGCGTCCCCTCCTCTTCATTGACTGACAGCTGTACCAAGGCTTTTTTTTTTTCAGGGAGAAGGCATCATTGTTTCATCTTCTGCTTTTATATTTGTTTGTACATGTGTTCTGGCTTCTGTCTTTTTTCAAGTCCTTTGCACTTGCTTACCAGCTGCCATTGAAGTGCAGAAGGTCGTTGCAAAATAGTGAGCAGACACTTGAAAATCTGGTTAGAATTTAACAAGCAGACACTTAAATATCTGGAACAACATAACAAGCAGACATTTGTAAATGCTCAAGCACTGAAACAGCAGCACTCAGAAGGTCTAAAAGGTCTTTCAGTGGACGATCAATGTCCGCACTGTCTTTGTTTCCTTCCCTCTCAGCTTTATTTTCTTCTGGAGCCATTTCTTGTAATTTTGCTCTGTGTAAAGTGATGTGAAAAGATGGCCCTGAGTTAATAACAGTACCCTCTCAAATACTATATTTGTGTGTGTTCAGACAAATATACACACACTAAGGGTGAAGTTGCAAGTACAAACATTTATTTGATATTATTTTAATTTTTTACTTACATATTGGTTGGTATTGATAGGGTTGAATTATGTGTGTTGGTGTTAAAGTACTGTATGCAAAAGTAAGTTGTGCTCCTAAAATGTCACATCCCAGCTGCATTGCACAATTAACACTTGTTCTTGTCATGTTTGGTTTGTCAGTTTAACTCCATGTTAATTGTCAGGTTGATATTACAACATTATCCACGACAGTGCTGTCCTCAGGTGCTGGTTTCAGCAGACATGTTTTACAACCACTACTACTAATGGTATTGACCATATGCTACCCTGCAAGGAATTATTATCCATACTGTATCTATAACAATTGTGTGCCACATTAATACTCCTTCCATTACTACTGTGGTACTTTACAATTACAACAAGGCCAATGATCCAGGCTTCGGGTTCAGTCACCTTAAAACATTTACACTTATCTTCATTATCCCAGCAAGAAGATATTTTGGTGCAGTCAGGGTACAAAAACAAATGATAACAAACAGGGCTGCATATAAATGGCAGCATTACTAAAATCACAAGCAGTTGGTTGTTTTTTTTAAAGATATTTTTCAAGCCTTAATCATCTAAAGCCTCTCTGTGGAAAACTCTAAAAAGTAGGATTTAAATTCATCATGTCTTAGAAAATCTGCAAAGATCCAAATTTAATTATCAGTCAGGTTAAGCAGATCATACATTTCCAGTGTGTTAACATCACCAGAGGCTCTACTGTTGTGTTGCAGTATCCTGGGGATGCACATCTTTGGCTGTAAGTTCAGTCTCAGGACAGAGACCGGCGACACAGTACCAGACAGGAAGAACTTTGACTCCCTTCTCTGGGCCATTGTCACTGTTTTCCAGGTAATCAGCATTTCACTGTTTGGATAAGCATGCACACAAACACATTAGCACCCATCTCTACATATCTACTCCACCTAAAACCTAAATTTCTCTATATATGCAGATGACTTTCACATATTTATTAAGATTCGACACATTTCTGCACTTTAACCTGTAAAGCAGACCATGTAAAACTCTAATAATATAAACTTTAGGATATAAGTCTACACTTTATATTTTCAGACATATTTGATAAATCTGTAATAATTAGGGTTGGGCACGTTAATGCCTTATTATAGCCTATTTAACTTAAGTTAAAATTATAGACTAACGTTACATAACTTGATCATGATGTAACATCATACATACCTACATCTAGTTTTGTGGGGATTTTCTGCCCTAATAGCTAGGTTTTACCTTCTTTCCCACACCGTACCTATGATGTTGCTTGTTGCTAAGTGTAGCATGTTGATTGGTCAGGAATGTGACATAATCACGGCGGAAGAACATAACGGGATCCCACGAGAGTTTTAATGTTGTTGTAAAATGGGACTTGTGGCTCATCGCACGGACATTGCTAGCCTGATTGTTGTTGCTAGCCTGTTCTGTGCCCGAGTTTAGCCAAGTCCACAACCCAGCATAACTGCCTTCTCTAGAGTAAACAGCTGTATCTCTGTACTCACCTGCTGAAGTTCATAAACGGAGATTCCTTGTCGTGTGAAGTGATTTCCACCCACGCACACCCAGAAGAAGTAATCTGAGTTAGCCTAGCTCACTTCGAGGTCAGAACACGACACTATTGTGTAAAGGAAATACTGCTATTAAAAAACACCTTGCTTATTTAAAGTGTTTGCAAACCAAATGCTATTGCACTTTTGTTTATATATTAGCAAATTTAAATGAAATACACTACTTTAGAATTCATTATTCAATTTTACGGATAACAATGCGATTAATCGCAATTAAAAATTTTAATCGTTGCCCAGCGCTAGTAATAATTGTTGTGCTAAACATATTTGAACCATACTTGAACTTTGTGGTACACTTTATTGTATGCATGAAGCATTTTTATCGATATTTAATTAATACATTTTTAAGTGGTCTACTACTATTAACACTCTGTATGTGTGTTTATCAATTTAATTCTCTCAGATTCTGACTCAAGAGGACTGGAATGCAGTTTTGTATAATGGTATGGCAGCCACTTCACCACTTGCTGCTCTTTACTTTGTGGCCCTCATGACCTTTGGAAACTATGTCCTCTTCAACCTGCTGGTGGCCATCTTGGTTGAAGGCTTTCAGGCAGAGGTAAGGGAACTCATTGCTATTGCCACATGGCCTCGAACTGCACAATGTAAGGTTGTTTCCATAATAAATTGATTGTTGATGACGATTCGGGTGCCCAGGCCAGGTGTGTTCATTGCTATTCATTACATCCTTTTAAGAATGTTAATTAGGTTCAACTTCTATCAGGAGAGGTGAAATATTTTGAAATTATCGCTGACATGTATTGCCCTCTAACAGATGCCAATGAAGTGCAGCAAATCAACAAGCTCTTACCTTATTTCAAAACAGGTCGCACTCCCTAAAGGGCTAGCTAGAGTTCTATTCATAGACTTTAGTGCAGCATTTAATTCTATGAAGCTACATATTATCCTGCAAAGACTAGCCAATATTAAGATAGATAAGGCCTTGGTTATCTGGATCAGAGACTTTCTTTCCTGTCGCCCTCAGAGAGTATGTGTAAATGGCTTTTTGTCAGGAGTGCATACTATCAGTACAGGCTGCCCACAAGGCAACGTTCTTTCCTCTGTGCTTTTTTCTCTATTCACAAATTAATTTTCCATAAATAATAGTACCTTTAAGCTGATAAAATATGAAGATGATATGGCCTTAGTAGGACTCTTACAAAAAACTGACCCCTCTGGTGAGGCCTCTTATTTAGCACATGTAAAGGCCATTGAAACATGATGCAAAGATAGCGAGCTAGAAATCAATGTGGCAAAGACAAACGAGCTAATCTTTTGCAATAAAGAAGACATAACAACAGAGCCAGTTGTACTTAACAGTTTAACAGGACAGTGTTAATGGCTAGTAAAATAGTAGGACATCCTCAAAAACAACTGACTCAAATATATTCTGACAGAATGAGAAAGAAGGCTAGAAAAGTCACTACAGACAGCACTCACCCTCTTTCTAGACAGTTTGAGCTTCTGAAGTCTGGTTATTTAAGGAAACATGGCCTGTAAATTGATGTTGAACTTTTACAGTAGTATGTGATTTACATAAACTTCTATATTTAGCTTGTCTCCATCTCTCCATCCTTGCATTCTCTCCTATGGACAGCTGACATCCATCAGTCAGTGTTTCTCAAAGACTAAAGACTCCAACCTTTGGCAGTGACGTTCACAGCTAAAATAAACACAGGCTCTTGTGTCCTGCTGATTTTCATAGGAGACTGAAATGCATAGAGTTACTCACAGTGTAACTAACACTCTCACATCATATACACCAAATACTTATAGACTAAACAACAAGACCACACATGAGTGCCAGTTATTATACTTCTTTGCTGAGTGGGGAATGGGAAGGTCATTGATGGGGGGGTTTGTGAGGGACACAATACAGGGCAGGAAGTGAAAGAAAAGTAAAAATTGCACATATGAAGTTGATCAGCCACCCTATTGACTGACTCCAACACAACTAGGGCTGTCCCCGACCATGGATTTACATAGTCGAATCAGAATCGTCAAGTCCCGCCTATAGTCGACTGATAGTTGAATCATGTGTGTTTTTGTGCACGCCCATTGCAAGCCGGAGGGAGGGGGTTACACACGGTAGCTCCACTTTAATATTGAGGAGCTGCAGTCTCTTTTCATTCAACTTACACTGTAAATTTCCAGCTAAACTGAGGCTTTTTGAAGACCCCTTTCTCTCTCTCTCTCTTGCCTGTCATTCACTGGTCTTGTGCAGAGTCTTGCATGTATGCCGTGCTGCTGACAACTGCATGCATGTCGCGGTTCTTCGGGCATCTATTTCAAGTAGCCGGCTATTTTAAAACGGTGATAAATTATCTGAAAGTCCCACGAGGTGCGGGCAACTCAGCACAACACCAGTGAAGCTGGGGCTCCGTCTCTTCTGCAAGTGTCTTCTGCCATTACACATACTGACGACCTAGGGTTGAAATGTGTATTGTAATAGGCTGTATATTAACTTACTGGGAGAAAACTGGTAATTATATGTAAAATCAGACGTTGTGCACCCCCATATCGCTAAAATGGCCTCATCCTTGTTTCACTGCGAAGCTTTGACTGTGAAATTGACAGTTGAATCAGGCGCCGCTCATCAAAGCATCGAATCTTCCACTATTTGGGGTCAGCCCTAATCGCAACATTACACTTCTAGTTTATATTACCTCAAGCATGATGAGAACACTGGTGAAAACACAAATCATATTTATCTCTAATGGAAATACAAAAACAAGAATGACTAAATCCATTACAACATGATTTTTATATTTCTAGAAGACTGAAAGTCGCCTCTATCCATTAATTTTGTTGTATGTTTCTGTATGTGGTTATGCAGGCAAAATTCTGCATATATTTTTTAATTGTTACTGTCTAAATAATAATTACACTAATAATTATACTTCACATACAATTTACAATCATGGTATTTATCAGAGGCTGTATCAGCAATCAAATTTTTTTTAGTTTTTTTGTTTAACTCAACACATTGAAATTCCTGAAGCCTTCCATCTCAATGGAAAACACTGTCTATCTGACATCAGCTGTCAAACTCACAGATGATATCATTGGAAAATTGTAGCACAGTTGAGTAATCCAGTTGACTTTTCATACACAGATCAAATCTTTACCATATTCATGACATGTGGTGATGATGTGTGAAAGCAATCCGTCTTTCACTCTGTCTCTCTGTCTTTCATTCTCACGGCTCTCTGACTTTTTCCGCTCATTCACACAGTGTCTACTACTGCTACACACTAGGGATTATTGAACCAATTTACTCCAGATGTCCCTATTGTAAAGACAAAAAGGAAAATCCCATTGGTCTTAACCAAACCTGTGCAGTTACTGGAGTACTGTGTTAGTAGCTTGGGGGTTTTACTGATTTAATCTTTAGACACATCACAGATCTTTGCTGCCCTGATAACCTCAAATATGTTTGATAGTTGGTGGGAGAGAGCAGAGTTTGTTGCTTTGACTGATATTACACAAAGGATAAGCGGTCTTGAGCCCTTAGTACACTTTGAGAGTCCCAGTAGCATGAGTCCTATGTACTTCCCTTTTTTTTTCTCTTTCTATCCTCTGTTTCCCTCACCTCCTTTTATCTGCAGGGTGATGCCACTCGTTCTTACTCAGATGATGATCGCTCCTCTTCTAACTTTGACGAGAGCGAGAAACACGACTCCATAAAGTTGTCTGGTGAGTTGATGGAATGTTTCCCTCTCACCCTTATAATTACATGTTTTATTTGAGTCAGTGGCTTGTGGTAAATTAAAATACAAGGCCCATCTACTGTAAATTGTGATTTAATATAACTAACACAACTAAAATATAAATAAAATAAAAATATATGAATATGTCACTATTGTGTTATTAGTAGGTTAGTACAGTTAAAATAACTGTGCAAAAGTTAAATTTTTTTTTTGGTAGATTTTAAAATAAAATTTGTGTCTCAAATATGATTCACCACCAATACCACAATACAAATCACAGATTTCCCCATTCATGTCAAAACTGAACAACGTGCCCAACAATCTGCTTGCATCTCACTTATAAGCCAGTAGTCTTTGTTTTCCAGTGACGCTTACTCAAGAAGCTAGATGTGCTCAACCCAAAAAACAAAAGTAAGACAGAACTATGTGCCAAAGGCTTACACACTTGCACAATCTTTATCTAGAGCTCACAATGAACCTGTTCCAGCTATCCAGCCGAACCAGTAAACAACGCGGTTCAGAAAGGATTAAAAATGAGTTCAGAGACAGGGGAAATCACTTCTATACAGTATGAGTGGGCTGCTGCTGCAGAGGAGATGTGATCTCTGCTGTGCACTGTAAGCAAAAGATGAAACTCTGCAGTCCGTTCCTACATAAATGGAAATAAAACAAGGTGTTTTACTGTCTGTCCACTTACAGAGCATAGCTGTTCCTCCGGTTGTTTGGCTTTTCCTTTTGATGTGTGGGTAGTGTAGTGTCTGCTTTTTATCGCTTTATTGCTTAAGAAGTCAACCAAGACTAATACTTTTTTCCTGTGTATTTCCACTTGAGGCTCTCTGAATCTATATGTATAACCAACAGCAGATTAAAGCTCATTGCTTGAGGTTTGTCAAGGGTACAAGGTACAAGAAGAGGTTGTAAAGTGAAATTGAGTTTGTAACTCCCTTCTGCTACGTAGCTGACAATATACAGTGGTGTAGTAGTAGTAGTAGCATGAAAGCAATTATATAAATGGTAAAAATAAATAAACTATATTCAGTGGAGCAGTGCTGAGTATGAATTTAAGTTTAAAAGTCTGATAGCTTGGAAGAAAAAGCTGCTCTGCTGTCTGGTGGTGTGGCAGCAGAAACTTCTACATCTCTTCCCAGAAGGCAAATATCATTCTAGAAAATGTAAGAAATCACTAGGCAACATAGGCATAGACAGCTTCAACAGTGTAAAGGTATGAGACAATACGTTTTTCCTTCGAAAGACACCAAATGGGTCGAACATTGAGTTGGCAACAAACAAAGATGGATGGCCCAAGAAACAACAAAAACGCTCTTAACTGTTCTCTCTGTTTAACTACCTCTAGACCCAAGGATCTGCACGCTAACACCCAATGGCCACCTGGAGCTGGGTGCTGTCTCAGGGCCCAGGGGATCCTACTCCTCAGAGAGACGGAGCTTCACCATCGAGTCCAGGAAGAGCAGTGTGATGAGCCTGGGCAAGAGCAGCCTGGAGAGACGCTCCCTCTCTCTAGTACGCAGTCATGCTCTTATCCACTGACATGCATTTGTAGACTGATGAAAGCCTATTCACTCTAAATTATATGTATACTTTGCATCACTGCCAACATTTCTCCAACAATTTCAATCAACAATTTATAAATAATTTTCAGTTTTAAAGAGAGATAAGTCGTGACTCAGTCAGTGTACTAAGAATATCTTACAGGAGGGTCACTTCTGAGGCCAGAGGGTAACATAGAAGGAAGTTTCGAAAAAGAGCAACACTAATTAGATAATAAGAGTACAAGCAAGGAACACTTTTATTTTATTAGTCTTGTATGTTCCAATTAATCCTTATTCACATCCGAAAGTTTTGGCACCATGTAGTCAACATATACTGTAGATTCTAAAATATCCAAACTAAGTAGAAGTGCCCTAGTGTTGTACCTATTGAACCAGAACCTCAGGAGAGTGAAACTGAAACACCTCTGCAATATTTGGCTCTGCATCCAGTTGCCATGGCAACTTGTATTAATTGACTGTTCCCCTTTTCTATTGAATCAGAGAAACTGAGAGAAGTAGAGAGGAAACTAACGACAGAGAGAAGGGGAAACAGAACAAAGAGGTGGTGAGGAAGGGTTATGCAGTGACAGGAAGATAGAGGGGAGTGAAAACTAGAGAGATGATAAGCTAGAGTTTAGCAGGGCTCTTACTGTAGAGGTTATGATGTTAAACAAAGTGGATGTGGAAGATCCACTTCACTGTGAAGTCTCCTCCTCTTCTCTCTGAGCACTCCAAGTTATTTGATATCAGAAGGCATCAGTTACATCAGATTGGGGCAAAAGAACAAAAATAATAAGAATTTAAGAAAGTTGGTTATGAAGAAATTTATGATTTTTATTTAAGTTTTGTTACAGATTTATCAGCAGCCTGATAGTGTTTGGTTCTCTTTGCCAGAATCACACTTGGACCTATGAAACAGTTCCATCTGTTTGTTTCGCTGTTTTATACAGTCTATCAAACAGTGTCGACTGGACTCAGATGAAACTCAGAGGGAATGATGCATCTCTCTGTTGTGTAGCAGCACAATCAAAATTTCACTCATCAGTCTAATGGATGTGCTGCTTTGTTGGGGGTATCTGTCAATGTGTCTGATGAAATCAAGCTGTTGATGCATAAAGAATTGGAAGAAGTACACAGCTGAGTTAAAGATCAAAATAATATATAATAAACATCCATAGTTGCATTATTCACTGAAAGGGAATTACAGTACATGGTTTTGACTGTTTTTGTATTAATATACGGAATATTGTGTGAACTTGTGTAATGTTTATTAAATATTTTTGAATGTCAATAGAAGTGAAATTGAAAAGGTTTCAGTCCAAGGAATAATATTAAAAATACAGAACGGGTACAGGATGGCAACATGTTCCCTTCAATTACTTATCACTAAGGCTATCTCTAATTACCACACAACCTGGATCAGTGTAATTTGCTTTCAATATAGTACTTATCCTCTGTTCAGTGTCAGCCAAATTAGACAGAAATCAATAGCTATTCACTGACTGTAACACACTGCATTGGTGCAGAGGTACACATTTATTTATTATTTATTTATTTATTTATTTATTTCCACAATATCACACATTGCAATTAATGCTACATCAGAAGCAGTTGTTGGGGGCAGCATATTACAGAAGTGACAAGTTACAAAATATATTACTTTTTCCAGCAGCCAAGAACTATAACACATTTCCCACACTAAATATAGTAATACGAGTTACAAGCAAATAAGATGCAGCATGTCAACTGGTGCTGGATACATTCGTGGGAACTTGTAGCCAGTGTCAACACAAGTCACTAGAGAATGGGGAGAAAGAAATCTTTGGCTACACACCAGCTCGATGGCATCACAACCATTTCAGCCCATATCTTGCCAAGGGTGAGAATCAATTAAAAGTAATTACTCAGTTACTCATCCACATTTTAGAAGCAGTATAAATTATGTAGTACAAAACACATCACTATTCAAGGCTGCAGCTACTACTATAGTACACCACAATTCAAAATAGCCTGCCCAACCACTGATCAGGAATAACAGTGTATTCTATTGTGAAAAATGGACTCCCAAGAAGCAACAGCTTATGAATAGGGGTCCATCCCATTAATTAGACATTGCCACTGACATTCAGTTACATTTAATATAAGAGAATGTTTCTGTTGTTATAGTGCAGTATGTGTGGTAGCAAAGAAAGAGCCTGACCACATAATACACAGTATGTTTGTACCAGCTATTGTCTGAGGTTTATGCCATATAGAGTGGAACAAATTGTCTTGACGGTAATATTTGGTGTCTAAAACACACATTCACATGCAATGTTCCACTTGAGTGATCCGCAGTGCAGTTCTGTGTGGACCAAGGTGTTATTTAACAGCTTGCGTGCACGCTTCACCACAGTTTCTATAGAAACGGATGCATAGATTCTCTGGTATACAGCATCAGCTCAGACTTTGACTGGTGACGTACGTTTCCATGGGTAAAACATAATTAGGTCCATCATGGTAAGAGGATTGGACATGCGGAAACAAACAGAACTGGTTATGTTCCTTTAAGTGGAACAGGCACTCAGGGGTTTGCATATTGAATCTGATGACAGCCTGTTGAGTGCACTGCAATCTCATTTAAAAAGCCCAGTTTGCTTAATTTGTTTAGTCATTTATTTATTGATACATGATTGACCTACAGTAGCAGGTGTGCTCTTTTCCACTTACCCCTATACAGTAGCTACATATTAACATATTGGTTCTGCCCAGTACATACTGGCAGCCACTAAGCATCTCAGTTGCAGGTGGAAGTGGGTAATGCTTGCTTAAGAGCATTTCTGGCTAACAAGTTAAGAATTCACTTTTGATGTAGGGACTAACAGTAATTTCTAAGTGTGGGTGTTACGAACCTCAGAAGCCCAGGGGGAGGAGGTTAGTACAATTAATAATTGTTCCAGGGCAGAAGAAGACGAGGAAACAGGAGTAAGTTTGCAAAGAAAAGGGTAATTTATTTACAATAATTAAACAAAGTGTCTTAACGCTCAATAAACAGAAAACAACTCCCAAAAGGGAAGCGAGCAACAAGGGTCCTTTTTAAAGGGAACTAAGGTAATTGATAAACACAAACGTAGTGATAGCAAACTAGCACACAGTGCAAAACAAAAACAGTAAATCACTTCACTTAACCGCAGGACTCCCACTGTTGCCACTGCTGGTTGTCACACGCTTGCCGCAGACTCCAAGCACTCTGTGACACTATCTCTTTCGCTGTAGCCCACGAACCTCTCACCCAGAGCAGCTTCCTTCACCAGCCCTGTGTTTTTTGCATTATTGTAGTAGCTATGGTGGGACAAAGTACATCCAAGTCGGTCTGTAAACTGTATTGAATATTGCATTTGCTTTTTCATTTAAATGTGGCCAATGTGGGACTAATGTTTGCGACCTGTCTGATGTTCTGAACCCTTGTGTGGCTTCGGACTTCTAGCATGGACTTTGACACACGTGTTCACAGCACGCATTCACTGGGAAATGTGAGGTTTCTTTGCAACAGTCAGGGAGATGGATGTAAAGATGTCAGTCCACAGGGATGGGATGCCTTACCATGGACTATGTCACATTGTAGTTTTAATAGGGAATAACATAGAATTAATGCATTTTTTTCTAGCAGTGACATGTTCATGCTTTCCTGTAGACATTGTTCTCTGTCCAGTCTCTGTCTCTGTGTTTCTTGGATTTTTGGTGTTTGGATGGATTTGGTTGCAATGGGTGTAAACTATTGGTAATTACTAATTACTATGAATTGCTGTGTGTCTATTCTAGCGCCATGGTCGCAGTTCAAACTACCACAACTGGGGTCGCCCTCCCCATCCACAGTCTGCATGGAGCCGCAGGTAGACCATTTGATTTACTTTCAGCAACTGATTTCAGCTATTGCCTTAATGAATTCTTAATACTTTCATTAAACCTTAATTACCTACATGGAAGCATCAAACCTTTGCTGTTGTTTTATTACCCAATTAGCTTTACTAAACTCTTAATATGTAGAAAAGTATTGATTAACTCTTTATTGATACATACATACATTTTCATGCATATTAAATAGCTCTTAATTGTACTGTTGTGCTCTAAAGGTCCAGCTCAAACAGCCTGGGCCGGAGAAGCTACAGGTTTGGTGGGACACCTCTGGTGGGAGGCAGCCTCCGTGTGCACGGCACCCGCTCACCCCACTCCTACACCTATGCCGCAGAGCAGGAATCCCTTCTTTCCCACCCACACCACTCTCATCATCTACCCCCACACCATCCACCTCCACCCCCACTGTTCCTCTCCAGACACTTTGCTGCAAGGAGGGATCGACGAGCTCTTTCCCTGGAGCTCCCAGAGCTGCTTCGGGCAGGCGGACAGCCCCCAGGCCTTCCCCCTTTCCACCCGGACCCTGGGAGGAGGAGTGGGTCTGGTGCAGGGGGATCCATCACTGGGGGGTCTGGGGCTGGTAGTGGTTTTGGAGTGGACCACCGGGACTGTAATGGCAAGGCACCAGGTCCCCACACTCAGCTCATGGCTGAGGTTTTCCCTCAAGTCAACGCACGCAAAGACAGAGCAGACCTTGATGAAGAGACAGATTATGTAAGTCACCGGATAAACTCAATAAAGAAGAAATGCCATAAAAGCAACAAATAAATGAATGACCACCACCTCTTAAGATTATGCAGTGCTACTTTATTCCATTAATGATATGGGGATGAGGCGCTTAACTAGATACTTTAGCTTTATGAGAGATGCTGAAAAAGCAGTCATGTATTTTTTTATTGTTGTTGGTTATGTGTCAAAATGAGAAAAGAGCTTTAGGGCTCCACTCAGGGATCCAGCCAGTTGCGGATAAATGGGGAATCATTTATTGGTTCCCTGATATGCCGAGATAATACTGAAAACTAAACAAAACATAAATCATAATCATTGTGGGAGTTGGGGTAGAAATGAGGCAGCAGTATTAGCTTATCTAACCTCTGCAGTGACATTGCAGTCATGTTATAAAATTTCCAAGCATGACAGAAATCTTCTAATTGAATCTGGGTGAACACATTCATTTTTAAAGTATTTACATTATGGATAGATTGGGGGTAAAATTAAAGAATTAAATAAAAGCATAATCTGAAAAAAGATAAATATTGCACATACTGTTGCTATGGGTGTAGGTGGCACCTTTGACAATTCTAAGCACTAATAATGCTCTAATGAGCTGAAATACAGTGATCTAAACACAAAACTGATGATATGTATCACTGATGAAGCATTACTTATTGATTTGCTTGGTAATTTGACCTTTTAACATATTCCCACCATTCTTCTCATCTCTGTTTCCCTCCTCTTACATGCAGAGTTTGTGTTTCCGTATCCAGAAAATGATGGAGGTGTACAAGCCAGACTGGTGTGAAAGCAGAGAGGAGTGGTCTGTCTATCTCTTTTCGCCTCAAAACAAGTGAGTGGAAACTTCAGATTCTTAATAGGAGTGATGGGATCCTACTTGATTTTTCTGCCAAAGTTTTGTTTATTTCACATTAAAGATTTCTGTGTTTCTTTTTTGTGCTCTGGCTGGTTTGAGGTAGGTGGACCTCAGTTGTGAAAAAAAGTGATGTTAAGTACTTCCGTATACTAATCTGGATTTACCAACATTTAAGTCGAATCTAAATCTAATCACTTGAGCTGTGGGGAGGAGCTCACTTTAGGTTTAAAATGGACTAAAGGAGTGATGAGATTCTGTTTTCATGCAATCACTTGCGGCCTTTTCTGTCAGTAGCATTACCGGCTGAAATGAGATGGGAAGGTATGTCCTGCTTGCTGTATAAAGCTTTTCCAGCATTTTGTCTGGTGCTTTATCTTAAATGAATCATGGTGAATTGGCATGCAGACTTAATGGAACTAAGAAAGTTTTTATTAGTTATTAGTTTTTATTATTATTTTTTTAGTTATAGTGAGTTAAGTTTATGATATTGCTCTGGCACATTAGGATGGTGATGACAAGAGTATCATGCATGCTGGTATCTTTATTAAAGTGAACTGGTGATGAATCACCCTCATGTGTCAATCATACATCAATAATAGGCTAATTTTATGCATGATGATTAAGATAAAGAAAAATAGATATGCGCGTCAATAGCATATTGTCAATATTTTTTAGACCCCTCAGAATTTCACATATCATGTTGAGGAATAGCTTGTGATTTATTAAGAGGAGCCAAGCTCGCCCTGGCTCCCCTGTAGTTCCCACCCTAGATAATGGTGCTTATTTAGTCAGGAGTCTTTCAGTTTATAGAGAAGTACCTGAAGCCAAGTTTTTGGGGGCTTTAATAGATATAGAGATGCTGATGGCCTCAGTCCTCATAAGAAGATAAGTAGGTCTACATGGACTGTTGTGATTCTCCACTCCATAATATAGACATGAAACGTCTTTCCAATAAACAAGTGACATCCATAAAACTCATTGACCTTGAAAACCTTGGTGTACTTGACAATGGTTAGTGAGAATAGATCTGAATCAAAAGTGAGCAAAAAAGGTTAACCTTTCAGTGAGAAAAGAAACCACCTCTCTGGAGGCGTCAGTACTTGTGAAAGTTTGCTTTGGCAACATGTTTCTGCCAAGCCTTTTTGTTCAGCACAGAAACCGAGTGTGGAAAGATGAGTCGACAAGCAAAACCAATGGCCCTGAAAACAAATGTTAGCAAACGTTACCAGCTCTGTCCTGATAATGTGGAAGAACAGGGTGTCATAGTCAAACCATTTGTCTGATCACACAGGAAAACTGCTGTCTTCTGGTTTCACAAATGGCTTGTTAAAGTGATGCCTCTGTGTATTTCCTCCACAGCATTTTTTTCTCTAGACAATGTTACTGACTCTGGGCTGTGAGTGTGTGTGTCTGTGTCTATTCATCTGTGTTTGTCTGTGTTATTATGTTTTCTCCCAGCCTTCAATGCATTGGTGGTAGAAACGCCCCTGAAAGCAACATGAAAGAAAGATCACTCAGTCATCCGATCGCTCACTCACCCGATTCCCAGCGTGCTGATAGGCACTTAAGGGAAGCCAGGCCCCAGGGCTGTGTTTTGGCATCCTGGCAGGTGCCATCTGTCAAGCAAGGGCCGTGTGTGTTGGCGGTGTGTGTGTACAAGCATTAGGCCATTTCGCTAGTAGTGTTGTTTTCCGCGTTTTTGCATGTGTTTCTGGGTGACTTTACATATGTGCATGTGGGAGAGTGTGAGCATATGTGCGTCTATGCCTGAGTGTACTGTATATGCCTGAATGTGTGTGTAAGCATATGTGTGTTTGCTCTAACAAGTGTGCCTAAGTAGGATTCAAGTGAGAGAAGCAGACAAACAAACAAAATGAGAAACTAGACAACAACAGAAGTTGTGTCTCAGGCGGGATAAGTGCCTACGCCAGCAATGCCGCTGGTCACGATCGATATCATGGGACAGGGTTGCCAGATTTAAATCAATAGATAAAAGGGACAGAGTTGCCAGGTCTGGAGGAAAAGCAGTCAGATTAGCAGATTGATTTCCTCATCCAGGGAGCAGGTGCAGCTGTAGGTATATTCTGCTCCCTTTTAAGCTGGCAGGTGAGATGGGATGTTTGAGGGCTTCACTCTTACTGCTGCTTGCTGCCTTTACTGGCTCTGGAGCTGACGATTTGACAACAACACTGCAGGTGTCTAAGGATGGTAAAGTCTATTCAGAGATAGTCCCTACACCAGTGGTTCTTGTCACAGGACCCAAACTGCATATGTGTGTTCCACCTTAGAGTAATTTCCCCCTCAAAACTTTCAGATCGTTTCATCTATTTAACTGTTAAGGGCTAGAAGACGCAAACATATTTAACATTTAACCAAAAATGTAAAGCGAAAAGTCCACATACTTATATAAATGTATGTAACAGAGCAATGTTTTCTTGTTTTTTCCTTAAAATTATTCACTGCCTAACAACAAGTGAACCACAGCTTGTAACAGCCTTGGAGGACCATTGAAAAATCTTAAGCTGTTTTGATGCAGTTACAACTGAATGCATACCCTTGTGGACAATTCTTGAACAAATCGTACAGCCTCCTCATATATTTCCCTTTCTCTCTTAAACCTAACGCCTTTGTTTCTCTCTTGGGTTCTCTCCAGGTTCAGACTGCTCTGCCAGTCCATTATTGCCCATAAGCTCTTTGACTATGTGGTCCTGGCCTTCATCTTTCTCAACTGCATCACGGTGGCTCTGGAGAGGCCAAAGATAATGCAAGGCAGTCTGGTAAGAACTATGTTCCTCCAGATCCCTCATCATTCTGGAGCTACTAAGCATTTAAAGGATATATTAGTCGTGGTAAATAGCTACATGTGTTGTGAGTCCATTTGTCTATTAAAATATTGATCTTACAAAATCTGACTAATACAAAACTTTATGTAAAACAGTTATATGAAAATAAAATGTTTTTTTTAAAGGTTCCATGTGTTCCTTGTTAATGAAACCAGTGGCCATTAAGTGAACTGCAGTCAGCATGCTTGTGCCCCCACTGGCATGTAAGCATGAGCAATCATCAGAACAAAACAGAAAATATGATAGACTGAACACTGAAATGAACACTGGATTCTTGAAAATAAATTTGAATCATATTTTGAGTAGCATTACTGTATGGTGCTATATTTTATTTTGACCATTGGCAAATCACCCCATCAGCCAATGCCTCGAAGCAACCAATGCCAGACCCACTACGCAGAGCCAAGCCTCAGCTAGCCGGCCAAACCCAGACTAGCTTAGGTTACAGTAAGCTAGTTGGCCACCCCTGCATTGCATCACTCTAGGCTAGTGGAGAGCAATCATTAATTATACACACGGGTTAAATTGGGCCCATTAGTGTTGAATGAAAAGGAAGCTCAGGGTTGGGTTACAGCGACATCGAGACGATCACTGCCCACAGCATCTTCCTATCACACAGCCAGACCAGCCGGACCAAACTCAACCATCGCAACGCTAGCTGGCAAAGCAACCTGCAAACGGCAAGCCAGCCAATCAGTGAGATCGGCCCCTGGGAATATGGATGAATTAGATAATGTTATCCACTCGACAAAGTATTTTAACATTAGGCAGCTAAAAAAACAAAGTTAGTCTTGACTTTGGACTTTGTGCTGGTCATTTGTTTTCATTAGTGGATTCCACTTCTATGCTAACGTTAGCTAGAGTTGCACACTGTTGGCACTGATTTCCCAGAAAAAAACATCACGAGCCCTTTAAATAGAAATAGAAATCAGTTATAGGTAACCTAGAATGTCGGCAGTCTGTTCACACATTGGCGATAATATATATATATTTAAATTGCCTAACATTAATACACAAAATTGACAAATCTGTGGTGCTTATTTTCCGCCACATTATTTCAGTGTCGAAATCTTTCAAGTACAAATTTGATATGAGAAAAAGCTGAGTAGATAATTGTGGTTGTAATTTTAATGTATTCTTCTTCTTGTGAACAAGCTGTTGTTTGCATTAATAAGCTGTTTTTCAAAATGCATCCTTGCTTCTATTGCTCCAAGCTTTAACTGGATTCTGGCATCAAGCCACTTTTCTGCATCAAGCAGCACCAAAACATTGAATGGAATGCACATCATTGAAGCGTTCAAATTTGGCATTTTATTTGGCAACAAGATCAAATTTTAATTTAAAAGCAAAAAAGCTGACAAATGAAGTCAGTGAACTTTTTTCAGTCAACAGCAAGTGACCAGAAAAGATTCTCATATCCTGCTTTGAAAAGTGAAGCCAAGTGCAGTCAATCTTTCTTATTTAACATTTTGTTCTTCCCAAGATGCGACTTCGTTTTGTCTTTTTAAATTCTTTTTCCTTCTTCCTTTAAACTATTTCCTTTTAATTTCTCTCAGTTTTTGTCCTCTCTCCTTTTGTTACAGGAAAGGGTGTTTCTCACAATTTCCAACTACATCTTTACTGCCATCTTTGTTACGGAGATGACTGTTAAGGTAAAATGTCCCTCCCTTCCTCTCCTTTCTCTGCCTCCTCACTCCCCCTTCCTTTCCTATGTTACTCTCTTCTGCTTTTTTTGCTTTTTTTAGTCTCCTTTCTTCACCTTTCATCACATCACTGTCTTTCTGCTCTCTTAAGCAATACCTCTCCATTGTTCTTTTTCTCTTTCCCCTCCTGTGTTAACCTTGTATCTCATCTCATCTCCCATTCCTCTGCAATACCGGCTCCCTCCCTCCCTCCCTTCCTCTTACTGCCTAACTCTTCTTTTCAAAACTCTTGTCTTTCTCCTGTGCATTGTTTTTATCTTTATCTTGTTTGTCTTCACCTTCTCTTTTTGCCTCTATCCACTATTGACTCTCCTAATCTTCTATCTGGTTTACTCTTCTCTCTTCCTTTTATCTCTCTATCCATTTTTTTATTTTTATTCTCCTTTTCTTCTTTTGTTTTTTATCTATCTTATCCTTCCATCTCAAGCCATTATTCTCTCCTCCCATCATTTTTCACCCTCCCCTCCTCCTCATTCCTCCTCTTTTCTCGACAACTCTGCAACTTACTGTTTAATCAGTTGCACATGACCCATTTGCGTTGGGCAGCTAGATAATGCAGTTAATTAGAAGGCTATCTCTCTTCAGCTGGCCTTTAGCATCCTGGACTTTCCATCGATAAACACATGCACACACAAACGCACACACATCCACATCCTCTTTTTAATCCACTAATCTGTGGTCCAGAAGACAGGGCATTATCCATTATTAAGGGCCTTGTGTCCCCAGGCGTTTCCTACATTGGTAGAAATCCTATAGTGATTTATTTATGACCAGGGATAATGAAGACATGTGTAGCACAATGATATGTAAATCATCTCAGCGCTGTGGTGGTGCAGAGTTCATGTGCACATACAGTTTATGCATCTGGCCCCTGGCTGAACTTAGATCAGTTTGTTATTTGTTCTCTTCTTGTTTTGATCTCCCTCTTTGCGTCTTTATTTACTTCCATTCCTTCAATCCGTCTTCAAATCAGTCACATCTTTATTTGCTTTATCTTCTCTGTGCCGCTCATTTGATTGATTTCATATGCAGTTCTGGATCTGTCGCTTATCATTCTCTCTGCTCTTTTGTCCCTCCATTTGTAAATTAATCGGTGGAGCACCACTGTTATCTGTGTCCTGCTTCATTTTCACACTCAAATGTAGTCCCAGCACTCTCTTGCTGCTCATTTTCTTATCTTAAATTATATATAAATTGCTGTACTGTAGCACCAACTTCCATTCATTGTCGAATCAAAGGTGTAACTGTTGCAGTTACTCAATAATGAAGAATTTGTCCTGTCATTGAGCTGTCACAAAATCAGGGGACTAATCTTCCACTTGTATTTATGCGTTGTCAAAAACCCACCTTCACACATACATGTACACACCAAATTAAGCCAATGTGCAAGAACTGCAGTTCATTGAATGGCCACTTGAGGCTTGCTCTGAAAGGGAGTCTATCCCCATTGACCCCTATGTTAACAAGCTTCACAGCAGAAATGAACATGTTTACAGCCTGGTATATAAAATGTTTTTTGTCTCTGTTGCTAATCTCCCCGGTCATGGCAACTGTGCAGGGGATGAATTTTTATGTAACTTTCCCATTTAAATTATATTAAGGCTTTGAGTGACAGGTGGGTGACAGGTTGATAGCTGGTTCAGCAACCATGCTTCATTCAGCCCGCCTAAGCTCTCTGTCCATTTTTGGATTAGCCAGAATAATATACCTGTTGCAGCATTTATTTTCCAACACATGGATTTAAACTTCACTAGGCAATAATGTCCTTAGTGACAAGCAAAGTGCAAGAAAAAAAATCCTAAGAAATATCTAAATATACCTGGGAGCTCAGCTATTTAACCTCAGTGGTGTCGTTAAGTAGCTTAGTTTCCCTACCAGTCAGTCAGAACTGAAGAAGTCCCTTGGATGAGGGATGAAATGTCTTCTAGTATCTTCAACCAAGTCAAGTTGCCCTTGACTTTAACCTTCTTTGGATAACTATGATCTGGATGACTGAGAATCCTCACAGACACCGCATTAACTACTACAACCACACACCAAATAGGCCTCTGAGGTTTTCTGAAAAGGGCTTGTTAGTTGTTCCTCACTCAAGGCTTCAAAATGAAGCAGTCTGTGCCTTTGAGGTTGTGGCTTTTAAACTTTGGGTCTCATTCCCTTTGCACAGTACACAGTTTTTTGTGCATGGGCATTGTCTTGGTCTTTGACATAGGTACGGGGGTCCTGAAGTGCAAACCACAACAGCAAATCGCACAACACGAGCAATTTGTACAACATGACAGTAAATCGCACAACATGACAGCGATTTGTCATGTGGCAAACTGCTGTCATGTTGTGGCGAATTGCTGTTGTGTTGTGGAAAATTGATGTTGTGTTGTGGAAAATTGCTGTTGTTTTGTGGTGAATTGCTGTCGTGTTGTGTTGATTTGCTTTTGTGTTTGTGAATTGCTGTCGTATTGTGGTGATTTGCTGTTGGGTTGTGCGAAGTTCGAACCGCTGTCGTGTGTAGCTATTTGCCGTCGTGTTGTGGCGAATTGCTGTCATGTTGTAGCAATGTGCTGTTGTGTTGTGGCAAATTGCTGTTGTGCTCTGGCAAACTGCTGTCCTGTTGTAGAAATTTGCTGTAGTGTTGTGTTGATTTGCTTTTGTGTGTGTGAATTGCTGTCGTGTTGTAGTGATTTGCTGTTGTGCTGTGGCAAACTGCTGTCCTGTTGTAGAAATTTGCTGTAGTGTTGTGTTGATTTGCTTTTGTGTGTGTGAATTACTGTCGTGTTGTAGTGATTTGCTTTTGCTTGTGTGAATTGCTGTTGTGTTGTAGCAAACTGCTGTCCTGTTGTAGCAATTTGCTGTAGTGTTGTGTTGATTTTCTTTTGTGTGTGTGAATTGCTGTTGTGTTGTAGCGATTTCCTGTTGTGTTGATTTGCTTTTGTGTTTGTGAATTGCTGTTGTGTTGTAGCGATTTCCTGTTGTGTTGATTTGCTTTTGTGTTTGTGAATTGCTGTCGTGTTGTGGCAATTTTTCTGTTGGGTTGTGCAAAGTTCTAGCTGCTGTTATGTTGTGGCAATTAGCTGTCGTGTTGTAGCTATTTGCCGTCGTGTTGTGTTGATCTGCTGTTGTGTTGTGCGATATGCTGTTGTGGTTTGCACTTCAGGGGATATCAGACAAATATGCTATCATTTATTGAGTTTCTTACTACATAAATGGCTGATTATTTTCCTGTTTTACTAGCAGCTATACACATTGACATATGAGCTGTGTGTGTAGGAACATTTCTAAGAGGGAAAAAAAGTAATTGTGCTCTATATAAATGCATCTTCTGGTGTGCTTAAACTCTGTCAGAAATGTTCTTTGAATTAAGTGGTTATGGAGTTATTCATGGTCAGTTGGGGCAATGATATGATGCACTACTTGCTATTGTCTCACAATTTTGTCAATACAGCACCAACAACATTATTAACATTATTTTTGTATCTCACCCTCTTTCCATCTTTGCTCCCATCCTCCTTCTTTCCCTCCCTGTTTGTTGCTCTTAATGTGTTGTTCCAGGCTGGTCATTCTGATCTCTCGCTGAGGAGCACTGATTAAACATAGTTTCCTCTCCGAGACACATTCCATCACAGAGACAGTCTGTTCTCATTTCCTGTTATCACTAATACACACCAACACAAATACACACATACATGAGTAGTAGCGATCAGTGTAAGCAGTCTTACCTGCACATAGTGAGTCTGACCTTGAACATCAATCTCTAATTAGGAACACAGAGGGGAGTGTAGACCTCGGTCTCTCTCTCACACACACACATCCAGACATAAACGTAACCTTGCACATATCCAGAGTCCACTGTCACGTTGTGTCCTTTGCCTGCTAAAACTGATCAGATAGTTAAGATCAAACAGGCCTGACAGACTGACTTTCAAACAAGCATTTTAGCTGCTACTTAAAGATACAATATGCAACTTTTTTGCCATACCGTAGTAAAGACCCTTTCAGCTCTATGTCTTCCCTTCGCAGTTGGTTGATTTCTAAACACAGCACTCATTCAGCTGTCAGGAAACAGAAACTAGCTTGAGGCTGATGCAAACTTGCAAATCTTGTTAACAGCTTCAAATATGTAGAGCTGGGTCGTCAGCAAAAAGCTGTTTCCATCAAAGTATAATGCTTCTTTTTCTTTAAAATGGCTTTATAACACTCACTGGGGTGCTTGGTGACAGAAGCTGAAAGAAGTGCAGTCAAAATGTTCAAGATCTTGCTTTTTAGCTTTAAGTGGCATTATTGGGCAACCTTTTGAGACATGTCCAGACTTGACATGAGCACAATGAATGTGCATTCTAAAAGCTTCACAGCTAGTGTTGGCTGGTAAGAACTCCATTAAGACTATTTATTTCTTTGGTATTACCAGACATCTGCCCCAGTTTACTGACTGGGAAAGTCAAACCAGGGAAAATGAATGGCTGATGTTGTTCACTTGTTCTTCTTAATCAGTATTGGACAAGTTACTCATAAATTGTAATATATTACTAGTTACTTATTACTCCTTCAAAAAGTAATATTACTCTACTTATTACTGGGTGATAAAAATAAATGTTTACCTTACTAGTTACGTTGTAAGGTTGGACAGGCTTGTGCAGCGGTGTTCACAAGAGAGAGAGAAAGAGGGAGAGAGAAAGAGGGAGCGAGGCAGGAGGTGCTGCAGGAATATATGCTGCTCAATACAGCTCCTTATTCAAATATGATTTTAAATACGCCTAGTAACAGCATATAGCCTAGGCATAACGTTTCTTAACACTGTGCAGCTGATGTGTGCTACAGGATGAAGGATGAAGCTGGAAAACATGTGCACTTGCAAATTTCCCCCGATTAAAGTTTATAGAAAAATAATAGTTAGTATTTTGCCAAACCTTTACTTATCTCATTTACTGGGAAATTAGTGTACACCACCTAAGAAATACAAAAATATTTAGCTTTTTAATGAGCAAGTTGATGAATTAATAATAATTATTGTAATGATTAAATTAATTTTAAATGCTAATTACTACTGACTCAGGAAGTTTGTAGTTAAAGAGTTATGGCATAAACACACTTAATACTTACCAGACTGACAAAAAATAATATATTTTATATTGGCATATTGAGGACGGCAAAACATTAACTATAGTGGGGTTTTTTTATTTAAAAGAAAGAAACTAAAGTGAGATTTATATTTTTTATGTTTATATTTAGGCACTGACAGCTCTTTGTTAAACACACTGTGTGTGTGTGTGTCTGTGTGTGTGTTTCACATTTAGCTCAGTGGACACCCTTCAGAGATTCATTGTGGTGATTTTCAGGTCAAAGTGCAGCAATGTGAGCTCGGAAAATCCCATCTTAAATATCAGATTGCAAAAATAACACTGAAGCAGCAAGTACAATAAATTGCCATATTTTCTGCTAAGTTGTATTGCAAATGGAGTTTGGAATGTAATTTAAATTGGAATTTAATATGACATACTCGTGCTGTCAGCCAAAGGACAGCTGGTAATGTGAAAGGAGAAGAGCAGACTTTAATCATAGCGCTGGCATCAGCCTGCTATCGATTCCCCATGCATCATGTTTTATCATGGCAAAATTTGATCTGCTTAATGGAGGCCTCAAAGCATTCCAGTAGTCCAGAAGGTGCTTTAGTATAGCTGGGGGACTATTAATAACAGAGCAGAAGTATTATAACTCACTATCTGGCCCGTCAAAACATGACAAAAGACTTAACGTATAGGATATGACAGAGACTCGCTGCTGTGAAGATCTCACCAGCATGGACAGATGAAACATTTTCTTACAGTGAGAGTTTTTGACTATGTTCTGTCAAAACAAGTTTTTTTAGAACAGAAAGAAAGATTTTCTGTTCCTAAACAAAGCTGTATGGAATTCTGGAAACTGACTACTTCAGTTGCTTTCCTGATTCAAAGGTCTCTGTTTCTTTCCTCATCCTTCACTCATTTAGCTGACTGTCTTCCACTTTGTCTTCACTTTATCCAGTATTTTTCTTTTTCTTCTTTTTCTATCTTATGACTGATGCCCAGCTTCTGCCTTATCTCTATAGAGTTAGGATTCCCTGACAACAGTTGGCATGGCAGTATCTGTTATCATGTTTATCTGCTGCTTCTGCGGCTGCCACTGCCGTCACTCACTTTGAGTCAGTGGTGACAGTCATGGTGTTTTAGAGGAGGGATATGTTGTTGGGGGTTCCCATCACATGATACAGTTTTATACAAGCATTTCTAGAAGGCTAACACAAAGTACATTTGACTGAAGTCCAGGGACGTGCACAGGAATTTTGAAGGGCAGTTGCTCTGACCTGAAAAAAGGCACTAAACACAGTATCCAAAATGTATTAACAATATAAATGTCACCAAAATACATATGAGAAAAAGAGTTCCTTATATTATTGTTTATTGTTTTTTTTTATCATTATTATTTTTTTTTTTTTTTCCTTTTTTTTTTTATTTGAAAATAAATAATCTAGATTGAATTGACAGATGGGGAAAACTCGCTTCTAATAAAATATTAAATAAAAAAACGCTTAGATTTCGGAAAAAAATACAATCCTTTTTTAACCTTTTGGCTTCCCGTACATTCAGTTGCGCTTCTAGCTCGTATTCACTTCTGTTGGTACGTATCACGTATGGTAACTGGGCAAAACTACGCATGATTTGTTGTAGTATGATTGCATAAAGGAAGGAAACAGGAATTCCGGTAGGGAACAGAATCGACTGACGTGCAGGCAGCGCTGCAGCAGTGCAGCCACTTAAACAGAGTTTGCCCTTCCCCTACTGACTTTCACTTTCGAAGCCCGAATGGAAGTGAATGAGGCTTTGCGATCGCGATTATTTTTTTATTTTATTTTTTTTTCTCGGAAGGGCGAGTCGGAAGGGCAACTTGAGTCAGGAAAGGCAAACGGGCAGTTGCCCGGGCAACCAGAGCAACCCCCCTGTGCACGTCCCTGCTGAAGTCTAATAAGAATGCCTACATGAGAGTTAGCTCTACTCTATATTACTATAAGTGCTACATTCACACAATGTCAGCAGAACAAGAAAAAAGGATCATGTCTGTAAGTTTGTAGTTTGCTTCTTAGAACACCATCTGGATTCCAGTGGTCACACACTGCATGTCAGTTGTAACTGCACTCCATTAGTTACTAGTAATTATTTTGTAGTTACTAGTAAATTGCAAATTTTTGCCATTGAAATATATGGGGCTCTGCAGTTTAGATATCACATATTCATTACTAGTAACTATTTACATTTTACTAGTATATATTATTTAGATACTAGTACTTATTCGCTAAGTTACTAGTAACTATTCCAAAAGACACAAGTAACATTTGAATTCTAACTAGTAAATTTTCTTTTTCTCTAGTGATTCATTATTGTTGTTGTTTCCTGTTTTATTTTGAAAGTCTGTCTCTTGTGTCTTGTTTAACTATACTTCCTGTTGGTGGATTCTTTGTTTCCCTGTCTAAATTTGTTTCACCTGTGTTTAATTATCCTACCACCTGGTGTATTTAAGTCTTTGTCTCTCAGTTGTTTAGTGTCCTTTCATCTGTCATTCTGTGTCAAGCATCCCTGCCTGTTCTTTGTGCCTGTTGAGAATTTATGTTGGATTTTGTCTGATTTCCCTAGCCTGGATTGTGTATTTGTTTGATTGTTGACTTTGTGTTCTGCCTTCTCCCCTTTTGGATTTATGCTGTTTTTGGACTGCTTTCCAGTTTTGACCTGTATGCCTTTACCCTGCAACGTAAGCCAATGTACCGTTTTGATTTAATTATTAAAACTATTTAAACAGATCGGCTCAGCCTGGTGTCTGCATTTTGGGTCCTATCCCCGGTTTACTGTGTCTATGCTTGGCTGATCCTGACAGTTACCAATGACAACTTTGGGTCACCATTGGAATCTATATTTAACTGGTATGAATCCAAGTTGACGACAAAGTTTTCAGAGGCTCCTTTCAAGCCTATAGGTGGCGGCTACTTGATACTTTTCAGTGAAAAATTTTCAGTAGCTTGTTTTGAAGCAGTGTGCCATCATTATGCTTGTGCCGCTTTCCCAAACAGATGCACAAACACCATCACCACTTATCCCACCTTTTCCAGAATTTTCATTCCACATATCTCTCTGGTGGCATTTTCTGCCAAACAAGGCAGACGATCCCGCTGCATCTTTGCACGCTTTGTTTTGACATGACAGCCACACCAAGTTGTTATTGCCATGAAAGTCCCTGGCAGGTGTCAAATGATGTCGAAACATCTGCCATGTAACTTTTCCTCCAACCTCACCAACTCTTTTTGATTTCAAAACTTTCTATTTTTTTCCTTTGAGCCTCCTATGCCTTTCTCCTCCACCCCTCTCTTCCGCCTCTCATTCCTCCCGCTGATAGCTGTCTCACTGTTGCCACAAAATTGCTGATCTCCCCCACCTCGCCTATACCCTCCTTTTGTTTCCAGAATATTCTCCTCCTCCTCCTCCTCTGCCTTTTCTGGCTCAATCCCCATTAGGGTTTGCCTAGTGAGCTAGAAGGTGACGGACTATAAATCTCAGACAAAAATGAAATATGTGTAGGTGTAAATTTTGCGGATCCAGTCACAACAATACACACTGTCTCAATATTTTGTCATGTGTGGCCAGACAGCTTGTGAGTTCAGCATGTAGAAGTGTCTGATTTAAGAGGATTTCGGGCAGACTGCTGACGTGGCACAGTGCAACATCAGCAGTCCAAAATACTGTATGCCTTAACTAAAATTTAAACAAGCTTTTCCTTGAATTGCAGTTTGAAGTTTTAATAGACATTTCCCTCTGTTATAACACAGTCAGCAAAATCCAATGTCAACATAAAAGCACAAACAACTTTGATTTTGCTGTGGATTCATCATTCAAACATGAAAGATACGTTGAATGTGGATGCGTTAGTAGACAGTCCTCAGCTTGAGACCGCCACTGCTGCCTGAAATTATAGTAGACTTGCTTCATTTTAATCACCTTTCCTTTCCCCTCCCCTCTTTATTTCCTTTATTCCTCTCCTTGTCTGTAATTCCTCTTATGTTTGAATATTCCCTCTCCTCTCCTCTCCTCACCTATCCTGTCCTTCAGAAAGCAGCTGATATGAAATGAAATACCTTTCTGAGAAGCTAAATAAGAAATCTGAATATCAAAGAGTGTGTCTGTGTGGACATCTGGCCACTGTTGCCTTACCGTGTGGGATTCTGAACCTCTCTCCATTCATCTCTCCAGGTGGTGTCCATGGGTCTGTACCTGGGGGAGAAAGCCTATCTAAGGAGCAGCTGGAACATTCTAGATGGTTTCCTCGTGTTTGTGTCTCTGATTGACATTGTGGTGTCAATGGCAGGTGGGGCTAAGATTCTGGGCGTTCTCCGTGTTCTCAGGCTGCTCAGGACGCTACGCCCCCTCAGGTTAGGAGGACAAACTGTTATGTTACAGCATGATTAGTTGGGATTGTTTTGTTTTTTTGTTTTGACATTTTGGGACTTTAGATTAAATTGAGGAGATCTGTACCACTCATGTTAGCTTAGCTTAGCAGAAAGACTGGAAATTGGAGTAAACAGCTAGTCTGACTCTGTTCAAAGGCAGTAAACTCCACCTAACAGCATTTCACCTGCTCTCTGAGCAGTTGCCAGGCAACCAGTTAAGACTCCACTTACTGGTCCCAGCCAAAAAATAGTCTAGCACATAACCTTCTATAAAACAGCAAATTGTCATTTTTACATATTAGATATGGATTAAACAAAACTTTAATTGGTGAGATTTAAAGGTGCTGGTAGGTGAATTTTATCACCATTAGACCCAAGCTAGCTGTTCTCAGTTCCCAGAGTTTGTGTTGATATCTGCTACTTGCAATAGCTTCATATTTACAATTTTTACCGTACATACATCTAACTCTTCATCGCAAAACACACAAAACATCAAACTATTCCTTTAAGAGTGTCAGTCTGCCACATTCTGTAGTATCCTGGAAAGCAGTGCATACAGGCATACAACAGGCACCTATGTACTCTGTAGTGAGCAAATGTAATGTTCAAAATCAATCTTTCTGCTGTTTTAAATTTAATGATATTGTTCTATAAATATTACTATATTTATCAAGTATTTAAAGGTTCTAGTGGTGAGGGTTGTGAATTGCAACCAGTGGCTCACGTGAAATGATTAAATGGGACAGGAAAGCCGTTTTGCTTCACAAAATTAGGTTCATTTTCCATAAATTTCTTTTATCTTTGCTCTTCATCTTGAATTAATTTGTTGTTACAAGGTATTCAAATAAAACTGAGATAAGAGTGGAAAATCACTCTTTAGTTGAGCAATTCAACTAAACAACTCAGAAACATATGGAACTTGTGTCTAGTTGGTTTGAGCCAAAAAAGTAGGGGAACACTGCATTCATGCAGTGTCGGAATAAGCAGAATCTTTTTTTCCTCTTTAAATCTTTATTAACTTAAGAGCACATGAACACACACTGGGAAATGGGACCATCTGAGGAGCATGTGAACGCACCGTGAGCTGCTGGCTGCAGTTTGTAACCCTCACCACTAGATGTCACTAAAACTTTAAGACTGTGGGCCTTTCCTTTTGTGCCTCCTCGAGCCTGTGACCCAGAAAAGCGATCTCAACGTGCCATCGTGAAGGACATCTCAATTCCAAAAATGCACCTCAAGGAGCGCTAAATGCTGTGTCATTTCGTCAGGGGACTGATGATGAAACGCTCACCTCATCAGGCTGAAATGATCTCCTGTTTACAGACAAGGCTCACTGCCAAGAAAAAGTTAGGCCTACTGTATTTCTGTGTAGTGAATGAGAACTGTGATCCGACTGTTTTCAACAGATGCTATGTTTATCGGAACCTGGAGATGTTTCTACAAGTTATAATGTTGACAGACATGTTTCTGGATTGTGAAGACATCATCCGTCACAGCTCAAACAGTGGACAGATGATGAAGCTGTTCAGCATGTCATATTTGAAGGCTCGTTAAATGCCTGTTTCCCCGACTCTTCCCTCCTCGCGCCTCCTCCTCGATTCCTCAAGCTCACATCTCGGACTAAGTCGCGCCGCGAGGAGTAGAGGATGGAGGAGGCACACATTTGGGAAATGAGAAAGGCCCAGTGTTCCCCAACCTTTTTGGCTCAAACCAACTGTCAACTTGCCACCACTAGACACAGGTTACATACCTATGTTTCTGAGTTGTGAGCAATTCAACTAAACAGCTCAGTCTTATTTGAATAACTTGTAACAACTTAAATATGTAAAATTGTCCGTTAATTCAAAAGACAAAAAGCAAAGAGAAAAGCAATTTATGGAAAAACAAACCAAATTTTGAAACAAAAAACTGCTTTGCTCTCGCCTTTAATCATTTCATGACACTTAAGATTTGTCTTGCGATCCCACTGCTTTAAGATGTGTTTTTAACCATTTAGTGCCAGACATCTGACAAATCAGTTGAGAAAATAGCTGAGATAGAAGCAGTTGATGAACTAGAGTGCAATTTCCCTTTCTTTTTATCTTTCATTCTCTCTCTCTCTCTCTCTCTCTCTCTCTGCATTGCTCTCTCTTCTCCAGGGTGATCAGCAGGGCTCCAGGGCTGAAACTGGTAGTGGAGACCCTCATCACATCCCTTAAGCCAATCGGCAACATCGTCCTCATCTGCTGTGCCTTCTTCATCATCTTTGGCATTCTTGGTGTTCAGGTAGACAACATCAAATATAGATTTATATGTTCTCCACCTTTGTCCTTCTTTTTTTTTTATTAATCATGGGATCTCACAAGTATGAGGACTCTTATACATTTTAATTGTACCTGAGATTGTAAAACTATTTCAAATATAATATGACCTAACAAATCTACTGCTATACTATCAATCGCCCTATTAAGTATTAATACACATGAGAATTAAAGCAGGTACAAATATGCTTTCTGGGCCACAAATTAAGCTCTTAACTTCCATCTAGAACTAAAACTAAAACTAAGAAATGGACGTGAACGAACAAGAGATGAGGCTGGGTGGTTGTGTTTGCACCCTTAATGAAATAACATTCTCATGGCTAAGACGGCTAATTAGAGCAAAGTCCAACAGGAAGAGGTTTAATGGTAACATATCACCATTCCCGCCAAACCAAAGTACAAGCTGAGTTAGAGGTGGAGTTTTCTCCACCTTATTAGTCCTTTACAGGCAAATGTACTGTACATTTTGTAATTAACTGAAAACACAGACAGAGGTAGGTAAATCTCAAATGTTTTCATTACCATTCAAATGACAGAGTTTCTCAATACATAATATATAAACAGTATATACTCTATCAATTTATATATCATATTGTATCTACGCAATACAAACAAAAAAACAATACATCCCTCAATAAGTCTCCTTCGCTAAATTATCAGAAATGGCTCATAAAACTATAGTATGTGTCAGTATTAACAATATCTGCACAATAGGCTATATGTCATAAGTCTTGCAAAGGTGTAGCTGATGTGGTTTTCCCATTTTTATTTCATTAGTGCAGCGCTGTGCATTATTCTTTTGCATCTAGATGTCAATCTCACCTTGTTCTTTCCCAAATCATTTCATGTTTTTATTCTCTCTGCATCCGCCATTATTTTGAGTATTATTTCACTCACTCCCTCTTTGATGTGTTCAGAATTAAAAACATCTTCTCAGGAGGAAAACCACACTGTAAATATCAAGTGTTTTTGCAGTCCTCAGTTAGGCTTCACCCACACACTAGTTACAGACGCTAATTATGAAATTACTTCAAAAGCTGCATGAAAGATGTGGCTACACAAAAGTGTTGTAATGACTTCATCAAAATGTATCTTTGTGCTCGTCTCTCTCTTATTTCCCTTTCCATGTGTGTGTTTTTTCCCCAGCTCTTCAAAGGAAAGTTCTACTACTGTGTGGGTTTCGATGTGAAGAACATCACTAACAAATCAGACTGTCTGGCTGCCAACTATCGATGGGTTCACCACAAATATAATTTTGACAACCTTGGACAGGTACAAGAGATAAAAAATATTTCCTGTCCAGATTATTTTGAACATACATTCTGGATGTAAACATAATGTTGCACGTATTCATAAAAATATTAATGATTAACACACTCTATAGGACTGAATTTCTCCTGTACTGTGTAGTGCAAGAGGGATAACTAAAAAAAATATGATTGAAAGTAAACCACACATAGGCTATTACACAAGAAATGCTTTGAAATCTAGGAAGATAAAAAAAATTGTTATAAATGAGTTTAAAACTAAATAACAATTTGTGTATGTTTTGTGTGTGTGTGTCTTCTCTAGGCTCTAATGTCCCTGTTTGTACTCGCCTCAAAAGACGGCTGGGTCAACATCATGTACCATGGACTGGATGCAGTGGGAATAGACCAGCAGGTACATATTGCAGGCGTACGGTTAACAAAACGGGTACTATCTTGTGTAAGTACACATATGTATAATACACAGTCACATGCTGACAGTCCTGTATCCATCTAGTTCTCACCACTTATTTGGTTATATTAGTAGAGCAAAGTAAACCACATGCCTAGGTCTCCAGTCACATCCTGCAGCTCTTTCTAGGGAATCCCATGTGTTCAAGACCAGATGGAGTATGAAATCCATCCTTCTGGTCACTCCAGGATCTCCACACAGTTGGATCACCAAACCACTGGAACTAGCTCCAATAGAAGAATATCCACTCTTTGCCTTATTCTTAAAGTTGAGAGAAAACAGAATGGCCTAGTGGTATAAGATTCCAGCTGGGGGGGCCTTTGCTGCATGTCATCCTCTTTAGCTGCCGTATTCTCTTGTCAAAACTGCTTGCCAGCTAGGTTGAGGTGAGAAAGGAGACAGGCGCTGTTAACACAGATTCACGCAAATGCTAAAATAATGTGCTATCGTATCAACGTAAACTGCTTCATTTGGGGGTATCAACTCACTCACAATTTGGAGAGAAGACTGATATTAAAAGGCTAAAATAGGGCAGAGCTACCCTATACAGATTAGGAAAACTGTGGTCACCTCCATGGGCAAGACTTGACAGGAGAACTTGCAAGTTTAGAATTCCGGTAAACTTCCCTTTAACCTCACAGATCATGCATACATTTACACACATGACATCTAAGTCCAAAAACACAAAGAACAGTACTCTTCTAAAGTGGCTAGAAAGTGAACTAATTCCCTATAGAATTTATTTTATTTCAAAATCTATCAGGGAATCTATTAAAAAGAAGGCATCATTGTGGAAGATTCAGTTTCCCCACATCAGGGAGAAACCTCACTGCAGTTCAACATGGCTCTGAATGACTAATCTCATTTGCACTCCACCCTGTGCTTTCAACACTCAACTCTCCTCCAAATTGAAAATCTGACTCTCATCTCCGGTTTTATTGCACCCGAACTTGATTTTTGTTTTGTAATGACTCTCTGCAATAACTACCTTCACACCCAATCATCCAGATATTTTCTTCATATTGTCTCTGTCTTTTCTTCTGTTCCACTGTCATCCTCTCTTACAAGTGGCAGCTCAAGGATTTTTGGACTGTACTGGAGGCTTATATTAATATTTCAAACAACAACAATAGATTAGTTCCCCTCAATCACTACTTATTACATTTATAACAATGATAAACTAATCCAGACATTGCAGAGAATAAACTAATATTCAAACAGCACTTTCCAGATATTATTGCATTTTCTTATCAGCCTAAGTCACAGTAGCTGTCTAGATTTATCTATCTTTATTAATACTATTTACCATTTCTGAACAAGATGTAAGTCTACATATTTAAAGATTGGCCTTAAATGTATATCCTGCGCTTAACCATACCAGTAGCTCCGTCCTTAATTTGTGCAGGGTCGCAGGGGCCGGACAGGTAATTAACCATTACCAGATCATTTAATCTGTATATTTTCCAAAGCAGGAGAACATACAAACTCCTGGAAACTCTGCTTTCACATTTCACAACAGGTGAAATTTTGTTACATCTCTGCGATGTTCATCTCTCTAGGTTCCTCGTTGTTTTCATCCCACGTGAAACCCACTGGTTGTGTTCTTTTTAATATTAACAACCACAACGTCCCCATTTCAAGTTCGGCTGGGAACCTTTGCTGCCTGTCATTCCGCATTGTTATTCCCCTCCTTTCCTGTTATAGTTTTACTACAATCTATCTAATAAACATGGAAATTCAAAAAAGAATTGTATATCAGTGTACACCCATACACATCATGTTCTTTACATTGTCTACTACTATTTTACTTGCTATCCACTGTCCTATTAATAAATGCTAAAAAAAGGCCCAAAAGATATCTTAAAAAATGACTAGCTCAAATAACTGTCAACCTCCACTGAATGCCATCGATTAAGACAAGCATGCTGTTGTTGGCTTGGAGGTTTCAGTTGGTGGTTGCTACCTTGAGCTCCCTCAAGGCTCCTTCAGTGTTTCTTACCCACTCGGCCTTCAGCATCTTGTAAATCCACTCATTACAACACTTAGATTTTTCTCTCTACCTTTGCTTATCTCTTCTCCATTGTCCATTCGTCTCTCACCTGATATCATGTTCTCTTCACATTTCTTGGTGATATTCCCTGCCAGTTCTCACTTTTGGCTTCCTCACTTCCCTTCACCTACACTACACTTCCCTTCACCTACACTACAATTGTCCCAGTAATTGTCTCTTTTTCTCTGTTCACTTTGTTCTCCTTGCCTCCTCCAGCCGGTTACCAACAACAACCCATGGATGCTGCTCTACTTCATCTCCTTCCTCCTGATTGTCAGCTTCTTCGTCCTCAACATGTTCGTGGGTGTAGTGGTGGAAAACTTCCACAAGTGTCGCCAGCACCAGGAGGTGGAGGAGGCCAGGCGACGAGAGGAGAAACGCCAGCGTCGCATGGAGAAGAAGAGGAGAAGTAAGAAGGGTGAAAAGCAGGAAGGAGGGAAGAAGAATCAGCAATTCAAGTGAAAGAAGACAAGGATTAGGAAAGAAAAATTGGAGTGAAACTCAAAAATGAATGCAGAGTTGGGAGAGGAGGAAGGAAAGAGGAGGAGATGGATGGAAAGAGTAAAAAGAAATAAGCATATATTGTAGGGAGAAGGTCAGATGGAGAGATTAACCTCCTGGGAGGGGAAGAGGAGAGCAAAGACTGAGTGGAGGGAGGAAAAGATGATGAAGGGATGGGAGTTCTTTTGGAAAGAGGAATAGAGGGACTTGATTAATCTAGAGAGGAAATGTGGAGAAAATAGATTAAATTAGATTAAATTTATGGTATAGAAATATCCATCCATCCATCCATCCATCGTCAACCGCTTATCCTACGTACAGGGTCGCGGGGGTGCTGGAACCAATCCCAGCTCACATTGGGCGAAAGGCGGGGTACACCCTGGACTGATCGCCAGTCCATCGCAGGGAGTATAGAAATATATCGATACAAATTACTAATTTCTTTTCTAATAAATGTTTGTTTAGCGCTTCAGAATAAAATGTCATCCAGCAAGTTAATTAATATGTAAAATAATAATAAGTAACACTTGACTCGAAGCTTTGGGGAGACTGTAGTCTTTGCTGAGTACAATCCAAATGGCATGTGTCCAAGACTTGATATTTTATATTACAAATCCTCAGTGATATCACTCTGAATCATTATTTCAACTCATTTAAAGCTACTTAACCTCCTTCTCGTGTTTATCAAACTTTTAAATACATATTATATCACAGTTTTATCTCCCTCTCTGCCTTATGTTCATTTACTCTGCCCTCGTGTTTTACTCCTTTTTTAACACCTTGTATTGCATTCTCCACGCTCTTCTCATTTCTTAAACCAAATATCTTTCTCCCTCTTTTTCATATCTCATTTACCTTTGATCTTTTCCCTCTTGTCCTCCTTTTTCCTTGATTATGTGCTTTCATTTCCCCATTCATCTCCACCTACTCCCTTTTTCTCCCATCCTCCTTTTTCCATCTGGCTATTCCTTTACGTCAATGTTTTTCCTGCTTTCTCACAAACCCAAATCCCTCCTTGCCTTGTTTTTCCTCTTCCTTCTTTACCTGTTCTCTCTCCAGAGGCCCAGAAGCTGCCCTACTACGCATCCTATGGTCCGGCCCGGTTGGCTATCCACACTCTTTGTACCAGCCACTACCTGGACCTGGTCATCACCTTTATCATCTGTATCAATGTCATCACCATGTCTCTGGAGCACTACAGCCAGCCACAGGTGACCACACTTCTTGATGAATATGCAGGGATGGTCCTTGTGTGGGTGTTGGAGTGAGACAGACACAGCAGACTTGTTTAAGTGCTTCTGAGTGGGTGGTGATACACCATCTGGGCAGAGTTTTTTAAAAGTGGGCACTCCCAGAGGCAGGCTGCCAACCTATAAGCTCTGAATCAGCTGCAAAAACAGCCAACAACCAAAACATTTACCCATGTGCTGGATTATAAACAATCTGGCAGATTGGGGTATTTTTAGAGACAGAGATGCTCTTGAGGCTGAAAACAAATTCAGTATGAGTTAAACGACCATACTACTATATCCTGATACAAATACTTTATTGTCCTCTTGGGAAAATGTGCCTTAGGCTTTGCGTGAGCCAACGTCCTAACAAAGCTGTGCCACCAGATATGATATTTTGAATCAAAAAGTACGATAAATTGGAAACTGTTATCTTTACATCCCAGATGGATGATATCCAAATCAATGACAGTAAGTTATTAGAGCTATTGAAGGTGAGGAAAATGTTTCATGCTGAATGATGCATCTCCTGCTACCTCCATAATTTTGACATAGATTAATCTATAAGGTATTTCTCTCTTAATTATTATCGTTGCAGGAGGAAATGAGATTTCTTCAATAAGATAGAAAAGAAACATAGTAAATGATACAAAAAAGAGATTGTTTTTTTTTTTTTTTAAGTTAATAATACCTAATAATATCATTATTTTTCCTCATTTTTTCTCCAAGTTATTTGCTCAAAGGAGCTAATTGTGACTTGTTTGGCCTAAAGGCTTCAGGGTCTCAGTGTTGAAATGAGACTTCACTGATCTTAAATAACGTTATGCTTGTGCTGAGTACAGTATATCTTATGTGGCTAGCTGCAGCTTTACTTTCTCAGTCAGTTTATGCCAGCTTACCAATATTGACACTCCTGGTCAACAACTAATGGACCTGACAGTGTCTATTACATAACAATTCAAATATGTATAGCTAACACTAGATAACTAGCTCAAATACTGTTATGGAGGTTAGCACTACTGCAAGTTGACCGGGGCTGTTCAAATGTCTTAGTAAACCTAGGCTCTAAAAAACTATGACATCACACATTAAATTTATCCATCTCGTGATTTACATTTTTACCTACATGAGTATTTCAAATCTAACCACACCATCCTTTACAAATTAAGGACAAATATTTATAAATGCTGAAGTGGCAATCAACCTTGTTTGGCTAACATATCATTATCTAAGTTAAGGGAATAGTTCACAATTGTGGGAATTTATGCTTATTTGCATTCTTGTAAAGAGTTGGAGATGAGAAGATCAATGCCACCCTCACTTCTGTATACTAACTATGCCAGTTACATTAGCCTAGCATAAAGACTGTCCAAAGGTAAAAAAACAAACTGTAGCCCATCAGTCCCTTTAAAGCTCACACACATCTCATTTGTTTAATAAGTACAAAAACTGAATTGTAAAAGGACAAGTTGTGCTTTCTACGAGCCAAGCTAAATTAGGCTAATCAGATGTTCACCGTACAGACATGACTGTGGGATCATTACTCTCACATAACCGCAACAAAAAAACACACAACAATGATTGTGATAATAAGTTTTAATTATATGTATTAAATATTGCAAGCTTTTGATTCATAAAGTAATTGTCTGTTGGATTCATTAATACCAGTGTGTTAGAAAAAATGTTCTCTGTTCCTCCCAAGAGTCTGACATAATTTAGTTGTCTGTCTCAATTAAGCTCCCTTCTATTAAAAGAGATTCATTGGCAAGATACTTTTCTCACATTGAAAGAACAGATTCACTGAATAACTCTTGTCCCTACTTGCTTTATTTTTTCTCTTCTTCTCTCAACACACAAGCCTACAAAGATTGTTTTATTGCCATGACAAAAGCAAAGTGTTTATTATATGAACTGTGGTAGAACAAAGGTTTAAGCATTTGTTTATTATATTTAAGATCAAAGATGGGGACAGAGGAAATTAATTTTCTATTACCCTGGTTTTCTTGGGAGTGGGGGGTGGGAGGGTGTATACTCTGTCCCTGTTCAACCCCGGTTTCTCTCTATCTCAGTCACTGGAGACTACACTCAAGTACTGCAACTACTTCTTCACCTCCACCTTTGTGATCGAGGCCTCTCTAAAGCTGGTGGCCTTTGGCTTTCGACGTTTCTTCAAGGACAGGTACAAAGAAGACACTTCCAGCTCTTTTTAGATTGTATAGATTTGTGTTAATGAGGTGTATGAATGTATGTAATATCTATGTTAGTAGTTGCTGTCTACAAACTCTCAAAAGTGAAACCACATCGGCAGATGCAAGACACAAACCTGCTATAGACTTTGTGGCTGCGAGGGCGGATTCAGATATTCCATTAAAAATAAATAAAACAGATACGCCCGGTCAGGCTTTGTAAACAAGAAGGAAAATTTTATTTAACCACCACATGATTAAACACTGTTTCTGAGAACAAAATGTGCTTAAATTGTAAAAAACAGAAAACATGGAATTTGGGAATAAATTTAACGGGATCTGGCAACAGATTAAAATGGATTTCACAGGGCTCTATTCATGGCCTTGTCGCCCAAGATCTGAATGTAGCATAACTGTAGCAAGCTTAAGCAGGAGGTTAGCGGTAAAAATTCCTAAGAGGAGAGTTTGTGACTGGCCTAAACCGGCAAAAATTAGTGCACCGCGTCTACGACGATTCTATGTATCCGTAACACGCCCACTCCACGCCACTAGTAGTGTCCCTGAAAAAAATTCTAGGGGAAACACTGTATTTGACAGGTATATTCCACATTCTTAAATATCTTATAGTAGGAGTGTATACAGTTCCCTAATAGGGATGTAAGTGCTTGCATTATCAATTGAACTAGGAGGTAGCTATAAACTTAGGCTGAAACACAAAACGATATGAGTAATATTTGGGATAGATTTGGGATTGGTGCTAAAAGATTACTATGAAGACAAAGCCCTTGCTTTTATTATTTATTTATGTTAAAACTTACACCTACTGTATGGTCATAAACTCATAAACAAGATCACAGATTAAAGTGAAAAACCTCGAATAATTCCATGCCCCTAAAGGTGAATAAATAACATCCAGCCACTGCGGCACCTTCAACCCTGCCACCTAGAAATGATGCTGTTGTAATAATCATATAAACGATTACCATCTTTTGAGAAACATAATTGCTGTCTGGATTATGTTCACAGACAAAGGGCCCTATTTTAATGATCTAAGTGCATGTGACATATCCCATTCCCTTTAAAGGAAAATTCGCTTGTACCTTGGTGCATTGCTATTATGACGGATGAATGGCGCATTAGAAAAAACAACATTTGATTGATTGAATTGCAGACTCCCAGCTAAGGGGGGGATATGTGGAAGTGATATACTCTGCAGCTCTGTGGTTCATCAGTGAAGTGTCTGAACTACACTGCAGACGGGAGTCTGTTAAAAGGCATACAGACGCTGTCTCCTCTACGAAACATCTGGATCCTCTCTTAAGAGCATCTTACTATTCACCCCTGAATATTATTTGAGATATTATGTAGATTTTATTATTGCAGCTTCTGCTGCATTTTTGGAATTGTGGGTGTGCTGTTGGTTATTTCTGCCCCACCTTTGCAGAATTTCCTCCAAACTATTTTAATGCTCTTTGCTTGTCGCACCATTTCTTCTTCTCCTCTTGGTCTCCCAACATTTTAGTCATATTATTCAATCTGACGTCGCTGTAATTTCTGTCTTTCACTCAGCTAAATCACTAAAATTAGCAGTAATTAGTAAGTGTCATTTGATGCTTGAAATATATCACATGGTCTCCCTTTTCATTGTTTTTGAATATTTGAAATAGCCAATAAATGTACATGATATATCTAGGAAGCCGAAAGGGAGTATAAACAAAACATGAAAAAAATTTAAAAACTGTACATTGGTGAGATAACAGCAATGAGCTGAAAAATCACATAATATTTTAAAAAGTAGTAACACTTACAAAGTAAATTGACTTGACTATTGGCAAACATTCACAATTATTAATGCTTCTGATTTAAAATTAACCTAACTGCCCACTGACATCTGCTAAACTGAAAATGTTGTAGCCCTGGTGGTATCTCTTGGCATGCCATAAATCAACCTCTTGATCACACACACACACACACACACACACATTCTAGTTAAACTTGAATATCAAGTAGCAACAGCAGAGAAGAGACCATGTTTGACATGGATGGGCTTTGGATCAGGTAACATCATTCATCATGTCATGTACTGTCAGCATTAGTGGCAGCAGCCAAGATCACATTCAAACACTTCAACAAACAGCTTGTTGTTTAGCCTTGAAATGATAAGATACAAGATTACAAACCCAGGAAGTAATGTTTCTGAAGCTGCAAGGTCTGCATAGCATTGAAGTTGTTCTTCTAGTATTAATATAAATATTCATGACAACAGCAGGCCTTCAGGTAATGGTGGGCTTCTACCAAGTCAGTTGTGGGATCATGCAAATGATGCATTAAGTTGATGTGGAACATTGATATTCATAGAAAAATTAACATAACATAGACCCTGATGTATGCAGCCATCAATTTCTGAGCCACATACTGAGCTAAAAATTGAAATCCATGCTTATTCTCCTGATCATGGTTTACTTTCACTTCAATCTGCCAAATTCTACAAATTATGGCAGATTGAAAAATCATCGTGTGTGTGTGTGTGTGTGTGTGTGTGTGTGTGTGTGTGTGTGTGTGTGTGTAGGTGGAACCAGTTGGACCTGGCCATTGTGCTGCTGTCAGTGATGGGCATCACCCTGGAAGAGATTGAGATCAATGCCTCCCTCCCCATCAACCCCACCATCATCAGAATCATGAGGGTACTCAGGATAGCAAGAGGTACACACACACGCACACGCACACACACGCACACACACGCGCACACACACAAAAAAATTTCTACCTCGGTTTCAAAAGCTAACTCGACAAGTGAGCGAGTGTTGAGCATTTATGAGCGCGTAGGAAGGGTCAAGCTCACTCTCGTCACAGCCCTGTGCTTGCGGGATCGCATTTGTGCATGTGGAGCACAAAGGCCCCCTCGCAAGGATTATTTTCCACTTGCGGATACTGTCCTGTGCGCTCGTATCACGTGCACACCCATGGTTTTCATGTGCGTGGCATTTGAGACTAATTACATGCCATACTTGTTTTAAATTTTCAGACTGAGCTCATGTCAATAAATTTTACGGTGGAAACAAGGCTCATTTCTAGTCTTATTGTTGTCTGAATTCTTCCTGAATTAAGGTAAAGCTGATATTCAATTTCAGTCTCTGTTGGCGTCTTCATTTTTAATAACACTCTCATTTGGCACCTCTCTTTTTAATATTCAGACAAAATTAGAGGGCTAGCTCTCTGGGCTGCGCCAATTCCTCTTAACTTTACACTGAGGAGGATAAAGGCTAATTACATCAATCTCACTTAAGTTTCGCCTCTTACCATCACCCTCTGCCCTCCATAATACTGCCCAGGGACGGCTGAGAGGACCCATGGGTAACATGCTAATTAAACAGCAGCTGGTGGTAATTAACAAGCAAGTGGGGTATTTGATGATGAGTGTGAGGGCTACTGGTGACTTATAGTCTTTCCTCTCCTCTCATAACATTCTAACCACTCTGCCTGAATGTTAACTAACTTATAAGGCTGTGGGAAAGAATATTCAAATGTTTCATAATCATCTACTTCTTTCACGTAGCTGAATTGTAAAATTCCACCGAACAAAAGGAGAGATTCAGATGCTCTGGTTAAATATGTTTAATTTATACTCATCTTGCTACTTTTTGTTGTTTTACATAAGCAACACAATACTTATTTCACCTACAGTGTGTTATAATGAATATATTACATTTAATACTTTCATGCTAGTTATTTCCAAAAGCAAGGGCCATGACATTAGCTACTATGATGTGAGTTTACAGGTTAGTGCATAAATGTTTGCATTTCCACTACATCTCAACAACCTTGCAGATTTGTTAAATTAGGCTGTTGTTAGGCATAATGTTTAGGCACAGTAAGAATCATTGCAGAAGTCCATCTCCCAGGAGGCTTTTTTGCCTGAGTGGCTGTTGCCATTCCCCATCAGAACACTGTCTTGTTTTTTTCTCTCTGCTACCAGCTGCATCATCAGCCATGTTCCTCCAGAAATTGGACTGCTGGGAATTCTGTAGGGTCTCTAATGGAGAGCTGGAAACCTATTCCATTGATCGTTTGTTATCTCTCTCATCCTCTTTCTTTGCCCAGCTCTTATCTATCTTGATCATTCCTTCTCTGTGGTGTTTTTTGTCTCCCTGCCCTTTGTTTTACTTTGTCTCACTCTGTAGGTGTCTGTTATTTATCACCCAAACACTTGTGTCCAGAGTAGCACACAGACACGCATACCTACACTGTTTGTGTGGAAGTTATAGTTGTCTCACCCTGTGATCTCTCTCCAGTGTTGAAGTTGTTGAAAATGGCAACCGGGATGAGAGCTCTGCTAGACACAGTGGTCCAGGCTCTGCCTCAGGTATGTGTCATCACACACACCCACTCTGTCTCTCTCTCTCACACACACACACTCACACAGATAGAGAGACATCCTCCCTCAGCTTATCACAAGGACACACAGGAGTTAAATAACATTTGTGGAATGATAAACGATCAGCATTGATAGAAGCTCCCTGAGAATTATGACTTTCAGGAAGTCGGGTTATGACAAAACGTTTGCCCTCAATGTTCTGACACCTTGCTAACTTTCCACTACTGTTCCTCTCATTAATTTAGGGAATAGAAAGACCTCTGTGGCATTAATTTAAAATTTTTCATACACACTGCTATTAATGAGATATGAGCAGCTAAAACGTTGTGCTCCCTTGGTACACAGAAAGACTTTTTGTTCTTTAGCCTTTGCTCAGATTCATATATCAGCGTTTTTGATTGTCCAGGGATTTCTGGAATATTTTTTACTTTTTTACTCTTTTCCTGTTTTTAAGTTTCCTTCTCTGTGTTCTGACTGCCTCTGTTGCTGGTCCTCTTTCCATCACTGTCACTTTGTCTTTGTCTGCCTCCGTCCGTTTGGTTATTAATTAGTTGAGTTTCCTTTGATTGATGTCTATATTTCAGACTGTTTCATTCAATCATTTATGTCAAATCGTTTCTGAATGTTTCTGAAAATGACCAAAAATTTACATTGAAGTGCCATATTTTTGGAAAATTCTTGGGTTTTCTTTTTCATATAATCATACATTGAAAATTTTAACTGTCTTTTGTAGTAGTACCAAATAAACAGAGTGGGGGGGGTTTAAAAATGTTGCTTGCAGAGATAAAATATCTATATATAATATATATATGATAAATAAGATTCCATTGTTAGATGAACAAAATGTGCAAAAAGCTACTTCTTGCCAATTTAAAATAGCATGGCATTCATACTCTGCATCTTCTCTGGAGTGCAATATATCTTTTACTGCATGAAAAAAGGCAAATGAGGTCATGCCTCGGTTTACCTTTTTCTAAAGTTATGAAGCTCTAAATCTGTATATCATTTTTTTAATGTGAGACACCCAGAGAAAAATTTGAAGCAGCTTCTCTCTTTAAAACAGCTTTATTAAAGACATTTGCAAGAGAGTGAGTCAGTGTATAGCCAGATTTTTTTCAGTTCTACTGCCTTATCAATGCTTTGACTGGAGCCCACTGGGATAATTTTTGTCTCCCCGATCTCTGGGTAGAAAAACATGTACACACACGAGACACATACACATTACTGCAGAAAACCACAGGCTTACACGCTGAGGAAAAAAATCACAGAAATCTCCCTCGCTTCAGTTGTGCCTCATATCAATGGTCCCTTTATTCATCCACTGTAATTTGTTTGGACAGATTTCATGGGTTTTGTTGGTGTTTTTGAGGTGGAAGCTTAGACCACAATAAGCTAATAGGGAGTCACTAGGGATGGCATACGCAAACACAAGGCGTCACAGGTCAATAGTAAATAAACATAGTTTTTCTCAATCAAATTAGAAATAAATGTGCACAAGATATAAACACTGTTTGTGAAAAAAATAGAATAAAATTAATGTGATATCAAAGAAGGTCTCCGTGATGCCTTACAGACACCAAAAACCATTTATTTTCATTCATTGTTTTTCGTAGTATTAATTCAAACCAGTTCAACTGTTCTACAGTATCACTGTCCCTTTTTCGCAGAAATGTGCTGAAGTTTTACAAGTTTCTGATGCCATGGTGAGGTCACTAACCTGTTTCTATGTTACAGTAGTTGGTAAAACAATGGTTTTCTGCAAATAAGGTGGGGCAGATTTTAATTTGTGAAATGTATGGATTGCTATTTAACCTGGACATTATACAAATACTGTTTCCCATAATTTAAGGTCATGTAAAACATCACTGATAACTTGAAGACTTCATATTCTGCTGTTTACAGCTTTACCTGCAACTGGATGTGAATAAATAAACAATTTAATTAAAATAATCAGTCAAGGTAATTATTTGCCCTTAATTCTTAAATAATTTAATTTTGCAGTGGTATCTGTCACCATTAAAAATTCATATGCGAAAAAGCCACATGATATCAGAAACAACATATACTGCAGCTTATTGTAACAACTTCAATATCAAGAGATAAACATTTTCACCTGAGATATGAGACAGTATACATACGTCATACATCTTGAGAAATAGATCACGTCTCTTCTGATATAAGCCACAGATAAAACACTTAAAAGTCAAGAAACATTATAATAATCTGTTGAAAACAGTGAAGTTACCCTTGAAAATGTACAATCTTACATTTTGCATTTTGTTATCTAAATTACACATGGTCACCAGATCCTTTGCTATTTATTGTATTTATAATGTATTTGCTAAATTTGATTTTAGTGTTGGTTTCTTGTTTGAGCGGGTACAGTATGAGGATCCTCTTTCTCCACAGGTGAATAAATACACCATGTTGTCTCTGTTCCTATTGTTCTCTTTCTGGAAAAACATCACAAACCCACTTTCCCTGGGAACATTTGAACCCCTCTTTCTAAAGGGTCTGTTCTTTCACAGAGGTTTGAGCTGAGAGTAATGACCTTTTGTATGTCAGCATGACATGTGTGTCACACCATGGTGCGGATGACTGAGTCAAGCTTTCATTAGTCCAAATGCAGAAGAGAACACATTCAGTAAACAGTCTTGAAAGTTTGCAGATCAGTGCAGGTTTGTTCACTATGGAAACCAAAGGTATAAATAAATATCAAAGTCCGCTCTAACTGTGTTTCTCACAAGCTTCTGTTGCCTGGTTGCCAACTCTAATGCATCCGTAACATCCAACAATCTGTTTCTTATACCACATGCATTCTCATCCCCGTGGTGTGCTTTCAATATCTGCTCGAGGGCTTTAAAGACATCAGGTGAGCTTAAGTTACAAGCTGCAAACTGCCTCAGGCCAAGTCGTGGCTTTTAATATCCACCAGGAAACATCAACATGCACAACTGGGGAGAGAAAGAAAGCTATCCTCAGGCTCTGCCTAACTTCTCCAGACCCCCCACCCCCCACCCCCCTCTCCCTCCCTTATTATTATGTCCTCTTTTTTCCTATGCCATTCTCTCCTCCAAAACCATATGTCTTCTTTCCCAATCCACTCACTCAGTTTATTTGCCTATCTAATGGAATTCACATACAAAAGCACCACATTTCCTCCCCTGTGAGGTGACTTAGCTAATGGCATTCTGCTCAGTGCCTGCTATTGTCCCCCATGGGGTCCTTTTGCCCATTTGCATTGCATATCACTATCTGTGAACGCTTTTAGTCTCTACTCGGGTGGATTCATGCCTGTTAGAAGTCAGCAAGTAAAATGTTTCCCAAACCGTGTAATAGAGCGATTATCCCTGATTTGAAGCAGGGAGGGGTTTTTGGCGCGGTTGCATTATTGTGTTAGATTAGATTAGATTAGATTGTTTTATTAGCCACACGTTGGACCTTGTTTTTGGTACAGTATGTTTAAGCTCTATGTCACGTGCATACATTACAAACAACAAATAGACAATACACTTCACAACATGTAACAATACAAAATACAGTGGGTAAATGACCATACGTAGTGTATGAGAAGGCAACTAAACTGAAGGGAGTAGTTCAGAGAGAGTCCTGATGGCTAAGGGAAAAAGCTGTTTGTTTCCCTGAGGGAATGAGCTGGGAAGAGGTGGCGAGCAGGATGTGAGGGGTCGAAGATGATTTCCTTGCTCGTTTTACAGTGTGTGTAGAGGGAATAAACTGAGGGCAGTAGTTTTCCTATGATCTTGGATGCTTTGTGGACAGTCCGCTGTATTTTTTTCTTTGTTTGGCTGTCCATGCTACTGTATTATACTGTGACCGATGATGTAATGATGGACTCGATGATAGTGGAGTAGAACAGAACAAGGACAGATTGATCCTGTATTTTTAAAGCTGCCTGAGGAAGTAAAGTCTTTGCTGACCTCTTGCAATGATTTGTTCAGTGTTAGTTGTCCACTTGAAGTTATTGCTAATGTGTGTTCCTAGGAATTTAAAGCAGTCAGTGATTGTGATTGGGTTGCCGTTTATTTGTATGAGTGTTTTGGGAAATGGCCTAGGTCTAAAGTCAGTAATGAGTTCCTGGGTTTTGGCTGTGTTAACCTCCAGTTTGGCTGTTTGCAACTATTTCTGGTTAGATGAAATGTTTGGAGGATCCTGGATGTGCCTGTTTAATTTCATGACCAACAAAACATTCAAATACTAATACAGCGTTTCAAAAATGAATGAGCATGTGTCGCAAAAATAAGCCTGTTTTCATATTTCATGAGAAGCTAAGACTTTCTGTCCAGAATCTTTTCCAACCCCGCTGGGTGGGTAACACAGTGAGACAGTAAATTCTTTTAACACATAAAAAATAAAAAATAAATAAAATAAACCAATGGGGAAATATCGAAATCTGTTTATTTGGGGTTCAAAGGACAATAACAAATGATGATTCTAGGGACGGTCCGGAAGTAGCTTTTTGTATCAGAATAAAATACCACAAGATGTTGGCAAATATACTGCACAATATCGCACAAACGTTTACTCTGTTCCAGTTAACTGACACTTAAAAGTTACAGTGGGTACAGCTGTAGGAATGGTTTAACCACTAAATCATTATCTACAAAATCTGACCCAATGTACGAACTTTAAAAATAGGCCTTCCTTATTACAGTAAAAGCAACTATATTAGTTACGCTTTTAATATAACGTATGAATCTTCCTTTGTGTGTGACAGGTGGGAAATCTTGGTCTGCTCTTCATGTTACTGTTTTTCATCTACGCAGCTCTGGGAGTGGAGCTGTTTGGAGAGCTGGGTAAGTCTGATCTTCTACCAAATTGTTGCTAATCAAGTGATAAAAACATTTTATTAAAAAGATGTGTCTAAATTGAAAGCCAGCTTCCCAGTTCCGCTTCGAGGGTTCTCGAACTGCGTCGGTGACGACACTATGGGAACGCCTCTGGCCGTGGCAGGGCTGAACTATGAATGATCCTGTCCGATCCGATCCTGGGGATCGCAACGCAAGATCGCCGAGGGTACCAGAACGGCTGAGGCCTTTTTCCGGTCCTCGTCCGTGGAATCCTCCTCCCCTCGTCCCCGATCGGGAGCCCGTTTCTCGGTTTCTCCCACTCGAGGGGTGAGTCCAGAGAAGCTGACATGATCTGGCTCTGAGGAGCTAGATGTGCTTAGCATGGAGAATGACTTCGGAGGAAACAGAACGTCATCAGCCCTCGCCAGGATACGAGGAGTTGTTTGAAGTGGTGATGCGGGCTGTGGCCAAGCTGCACATTGATTGGCCACAGGCGGTGCAGCAGCCATCGGTGGGCAGCAAACTAGACGAGCAGTTTCTGCAACACCCCCGCGTCGGCCCCTACCAGGAACAAACCCTTTTCTGCACGGCTGTCTGCGTCCCCCCAGCTGGACTACGGCAACGTGACGGAGATCAGACAGCACGGCTACGGAGCGATGCCACGAGTGGAGGAGGCACTGGCTAGCTACCTCTCTCCCAACCTCGCCTCATCCCTCCAGATGCCGGCGCTCCCCACCATCCCGTGTCGGATGACATCCGATTTGGTGGGCAAGGCCTACATGGCAGTGGGTCGAGCTTGTGCCAGGCTGTCTTGCAGGCATACTAGGCCAATCTACTTCAGGACTGTGACGTAGGGGGAGGTCCATCTGAGGAGGACCTGACGGAGCTCCGTAGAGTGACGGACTTGGCTCTCCGTGTGACCAAGGAAACGGCCCGTTCCATCGGCTGATCCATGGCGGCTATGGTGGCTACAGAGTGCCATCTGTGGCATCCAGGGGAAGGAAAGAGCTTTTCTCCTGGATGCGCCCCTCTCGCCTTCTGGCCTGTTTGGCAAAGCAGTGGATGCTGTCGTCAACAGGTTACAGCACGCCAAAACTCAGGGAGAGGCGTTTGAGTGATATCTCCCCCGCCGGTCAGACTCCAGGACCGCGACGGCTCAGGAAAGGAGGACGCAGCATGTCGTCCTCGCCCACCTTCAGCGTTTGGGGCTGTGGCTCAACGTGAAGAAGAGCGTGCTGACATCCGCCCAACGGACTACGTTCCTAGGGGTGGTGTGGGACTCAACGACGATGCGGGCCCACCTGTCTCCCGCATGCATCGAGTCCATTTTCTCCACAGTGACCGGAGTGCAGTTAGGCCGCACCATCACTGTAAAACACTTTCAGAGGGTGTTGGGTCTCCTGGCAGCAGCGTCCAGTATAATACCTTCCGGACTACTGCACATGAGAGCCCTGCACGGTGGCTAAAATCCAAGGGATTCTCCCCGTGGGGAAATCCGCTCCGTCTGATAGTGGGTGCCTTTGTTCCTTTCTTCTTGGTTCCTGTCCCAAGGTCCCGTGTTGGAAGCGATCTGTCGCCGAACAATTATTTCAACAGACGCCTTACTCACAGGATGGGGCGCGGTCATGGACGGCCGCTTCGCGAGAGGCTCCTGGGAGTAGCATTATTTCTCTTGGCACATACAGTAAATTGCCTGGAAATGTTGGCGGTTTTCAGAGCTCTGAGGAGTTTTCTGCCTGCCCTCCGCGGTCGCCACATTCTTGTCAGAACCGACAATACGGCAGTGGTGGCCTATTTGAATCACCAAGGGGGTCTGTGCTCGCACCCATTATGCAAACTGGCACATCAGATCCTCCTGTGGTCCCAGCAGAGACTGCTGTCCCTCAGAGCGATGTACATCCCTGGGACCCAGAATCAAGGTACAGACCTGCTGTCGAGACAGGGGCTGAGGCCCGGGGAATGGAGACTCCACCCCGAGGTGGTAGAGTTATTATGCGAAGAGTTCGGCCCCATAGATGTGGATTTGTTTGCGTCCCGAGAGACGTCGCACTGTCCCCTGTGGTTCTCCCTCTCGCCCCCAGCCCCGCTAGGGCTGGATGCCATGGTGCAGACGTTTCACCCGCACCTTGCCCTGTGGCAGCTATGGGTCTGGCCCCGGAGGGGGCGCAGCTCCTAGAGGCGGGCCTGACAACAGGAGCAGTCGAGACGCTGCTCAGCTCCAGAGCCCCATCCACGAGAAGGATGTACGGCCTAAAGTGGAATGTGTTCACCACCTGGTGCAGAGAACGGGCGGTGGACCCAGTTACCTGCTCGGTAATTGTGATACTGGAGTTCCTCCAGCACCGTTTCTCCGCTGGCCTCTCCCCGTCCACGCTCAAAGTGTATGTGGCTGCCATTGCAGCATTCCACGCCCCTCTGAGTGATCCACTGGTCGTGCGCTTCCTCCGTGGAGCCCGGAGGATGACACCCGTGACTCGTTCCAGGGTTCCCACCTGGGACCTGGCAGTGGTTCTCGAAGCGCTGGCTGAGGCCCCCTTCGAAACCCTGGAGTCGGCTGAGGCCAAGCACCTGACCCTTAATATGACCTTTCTCCTCGCTATCACCTCTCTGAGGAGGGTGGGGGATCTCCAGGCACTTTTGGTTTCTCCCCGATGGAGTTTGCCACGGGGAGGGTCAGGGCCATCCTGCACCCTTGTCCAGGTTTTGTCGCTAAGGTTCCGGCCAGACTGGCAGCATCCACGGTGCTGCAGGCATTTCATCCCCCACCTCATGTGACAGTGGAGGACGGGAGACTTCATCTGCTCTTCCCTGTCAGAGCACTGAGTATTTACACTCTAAGGTCTTCCCGGTGGAGGAAAGCAGACCAGTTGCTGGTGTGTTTCGGGTCCCCCAAGGCTGGGCTCCCCGCTTCTAAACACACCATCAGCAACTGGATCGTTCAGACTATTTCCCTGGCCTATCAGGTGCGCGGCTTGCCTTCACCCTTCTAGGGCCCTCCTCGCAGGGGCGTCACTCCAGGATTTGACGCGGCTGGCTGGGCCACCCCCCACACTTTTATCCGGTTTTACAGTCTGGACCTTCATTCTGCGCTCTCCTCCTAGTCGTGCCATCAGTTCTGCACACTGGGGGCAGGCGGGGGCAGGCGGGGTTTCGGCGCGGCCTAAGTGGGTATCTCGTTCCCATAGTGTCGTCACTGACACAGTTTGAGTTCCCTCGAAGGGGAACGTCTCAGGTTACGTATGTAACCCTTGTTCCCTGAGAAGGGGAACGAGACACTGCGTTGGTCCGCCTCCGGTTACGCCGTCACACACTACCGTTCTAGTAACACCAATAGAATTGGAGTAGTTTCATTCATAGTTCAGCCCTGCCCAGAGGCGTTCCCATAGTGTCGTCACCGACGCAGTGTCTCGTTCCCCTTCTCGGGGAACAAGGGTTACATACGTAACCCGAGACGTTTTTTTATGAATTGTCAAATACAGGAAAGCTCTCTACGGTATCATTTTGTAAGAATCTATGTCCACCACCTCAACGTTTCTTTAGCCAATCAGTATTAGATGTGTATCGTTAATCCCTTTCTTCATGAGTAACCTTTTCTCAAGATTTTTTACTTGTTGCACTCTTGTAGTGATACATCCTGGACAAAACCTGCTAAACAAACAGAAGGAATGGAGCTTTAAAATAGTTTTGTGCAACTCTATTCCTGAATGTTAAAATGAAGGAACTGACAAACGTCAAAACAGACAATGTGAAATTACAACCCATCAGCCAAATAGTTAATGGTAATAAACACCAGAATGAAAATGAATGACAAATAATCTTGTAGACAAGTCCTATATGCTTAGTAAAGGTTACAGGGGCTTGATTTCAGTGTTAATTTTGTCAGCCATTTAAAAATTTAGTCTTAGTCTAGTCCTGTGTCAAATGTCCTTTTTAGTTTTTGTCATATTGAGTCCACTGTTTACTATTACTATTACTACTTTTATCAAGAGTTTTAGTCATTAAACCATCATTTTAGTCTTTTCTAACTCATTAGTATAATTTCGATTAGCATTTTGGTCTATCTGCTCTAACCAAAATAGAGATACATATCATTTTAGTCTTTATTTCCCTCATCTCACATATGTTTTGTAAAATTTGAAAGTTAGCTTTGTTCTCATTTTTATTGCAAAGGAGACATTAATTTACCTCAGTTCCGGCGGTTAGCCTTGATATGCCGCTTCAAGTTCATAGTGTTTTTTCCAAAAATCGTATAAACACATTGCCTGCTGTCCAATATAATTAGGCACTCTGTTATTTTGTCCGCCTCACTGGATTTGAAATCCTGTTTGTCTACTCATTATACTGACAAAAAGAAAGAGATATTTTATTAACGTTTTTATTATATGAATTACATTTTAGTATTGTCATTTTTCGTCAACAATATTGCATGTTAATGTAGTCACAGTCAGTGTCTAAGGACATTGTCGCCGTCTAGCCATCATTTCGGTTGTTGACAAATATTTTAGTTTCTTCTGAAAAAAGTCACACTACTTGATTTAGGATCCTTTACATTCCTCTTATACACCAGTATCTTTAAACTGACTGGATGACAGGTTACAAGAACTGTGGTGAGTCTTTTTGACTTTTGTCATATGTGGCACTAGGACACTGGCTGTGGCAACTCTCATTCTTGGATTCATTATCCAATGTTTGAATTCCAGTTCAACCTACCATCCAGTGACAAATACACCTGTCTTGGTTGACTGTATATGTTTTTTGCCATATGTCTTTGTCTAATTTTAACTCAAAATAAGACATAATGGCAAAACAGTCTGCTCCAGTCCTTTTTTCCTTTAAGTGAATTTTGTTTGCGAGATCCAAACTCATTTCTAATTCAGCAGTGAACAGTCACAAGCACAAAGATAAAACAAAGCAAACTTTTTCGCAACAATTCTCACAAAAGAAACCAATTCCAAGTTGTTATCTCTCAGATAAGCTCCATAAAAGTTACCAAGGCTTCACTCTATAAACCCTTTTTTCCCCTTTTTCTGTCATCACATCTTCTCCCAGTGTGTAACGCTGACTACCCTTGTGAAGGAATGAGCCGACACGCCACCTTTGAAAACTTTGGAATGGCCTTCCTCACACTCTTCCAGGTTTCCACTGGTGACAACTGGAATGGCATCATGAAGGTACTTCAGTTTATAGCTGCATTAGAATGATTTCATATCACACTTATCTCTTGACATTTGTCATTATGGACTGGGCTATGTAATCGACTAAGCTGATCGGTTTTCATTTTCCTCAGTGTCACCTTATCTCCTATAGTAGTGACAGTACACATTTTTCTGAGATGAGGGTCAAGCAGAAAGCAGCTCTATATATTTTTCTATTTTTTGAGTTGCCCAAACCTATGTTACTCCAATCTCAGCACAGACTCCGAGCAGCAGAATTATAATTGAGCATCTTCAGTTCAGATTCCAGCATGATATTTAGGTGGGGGAAATGAGTAACGAGCATGTCCTTAAGCAACGATGGTGTTGGAATAGTCAATGTGCACTCAACAAAATCTTCCATGGGTGAATAAGGAGTCAAATTCATAGTACACTCGCAAAATCGGAGTATTTGACTCCCTTCTTCATTGTGTCATATGTCAGTTCAGTCAAGGATCCCTCTCCAATCATACCCAAGTACCTTGAGCTCTTAAAAATTTATCACAGCTCATTTCTGAGAGAAATTTAATCAGTGCCGATTAGGCTCTTAAGTGACGATAGGAAGACAGACAGAAAAATGTATCAGACCTCGAGATTTCAGCAATCCGGCTTGTGAAGTTTTGACTTTGTCACAGACATCACAAATTCTGATGTTCAATAAAATGTCTTTTGGAACATAAAGGCAGTATTGATTAGATTGTTCCCTTAAAATATTATTCTGATTCTTATGAAGAACACACTGAAATCTTTCTCAACTCTGGTACTCTGAATGGACAACATTGTAATCATTGATTTGTTTTACTTTACTACCCCAGGGCCCCTTTAATCTCTGATGAAAATTTGTTTCATCAACAGAGTCTCTTCTCTTACTATAAACTCTTCTTCAACTAACTGATCTTCTCCATGTCCTTCCCTTCACCTTCTCCTGTTTCCACTTTCTGTTTTTCTCTCTAAAATCTTGCTCTTCTCCTATTTTGTCCACCCACCTGTTCTTCTTCTATACCCCACCACCCACCAGGACACACTGAGGGAGTGCCCGCCAGACGGTCCGGGCAGCGACTACGGCTGCCATGCTGGACTACAGGTCATCTCCCCGATGTATTTCGTGTCCTTCGTGCTCACAGCTCAGTTCGTTCTGATAAACGTGGTGGTGGCCGTGCTCATGAAGCATCTGGACGATTCCAACAAGGAGGCGCAGGAGGACGCCGAGATGGACGCCGAGATTGAGCTGGAGCTAGCTCAGGGAGGCCTATGCTGCATGATGGGGGGCATCAGTGCCATCGCTGGTGCCACGGGTGGTGCTGCAACCGGGGCCAGCGTGGGCGGAGGAGTGTCTGGTGCAATTACAGCGGGGACAGTTGGGGGTCCAAGTGGCGTGGTGATGGCGCCGCTACGAGATGGAGGAGGAGGCGGTGCAGCTCATGAGGGACACACACACCATCGATGTCGGCTCTTCTCTCCTACTCAGGTAAGTGGACACAATAATACAGTACAAAGAATAATTACTGTTGATGCAGCCCCACTTCTTCTTTTAGTGCTCTCAGGTTTGTTTCTGCATGTCAGCAACATACAAATTGCAGTAATTACATAGAAAAACTAAACATTTTATTTGAACCCTTTAACCTTCCCTACTCATGCAGATCGTTTTGGGGGAAAAAATAAATAAAATTACTTTTATTGGTATTTGATTGTTACTATACCTTCACCTTATTTTCTTTTTCAGTGGAGCCACATACAAGAGCAGACATTTAACCTCCATACATGCCTATCTAATTTGATGTATTTGTGACATAATTATACTTTTTTTATGTTTTCTTTTTTTATCATGCATTACAGTACGTATCTGTACTTAGCAGAATATGAGTACCAGTATGCTTGTACTGCAAACATTTCACATGTTTAGTTATACATTATCAGTATGATGATCCTCTAAATGGAGATTAAAAAAGATGTTAAACTGGGGAAATTTTGACTGAAAGGTGAAAGTTTATTTAGGTGTCAATGTTATATATATAACCATTAGAATGATTGTTAGGATTTCACATTGAAATAAAAGCTGTTGAAGCAACTGTGACATATAACTTTGATGTCACAGAAAACCTTTTCAACTTAAATTTAGCCTGGCATTAACCAGGATGTTGATTTTTTTTGCCTGCAAATCACCAAATCAGTTCTTACTGGGTCATCAACAGATGCCTGCATTCATTTGAATATAGACATCTGTTAGAAAGCAAAAATATTCAGGCTTTAAAATTATGCACAGCATTGACAAAACAGAACATTTGAATCCAACAGTATATCCCATTTTCGTATACAATACTGAAACATGTGGTTACATCCCACTTCATGGCCAGTTCTCCCCATAAGCTAATCATGTGGGATCATGAGTGAAGAGCTCATAGGCTCTGAGTCTTCTTAACTACATACTCACTGCAGCATTACATTCTTTCTGGATTCAAATGGCAATGCCAGGCAGATGAGTCATCAGTCATTCAGGATCACATTCAACCATATAATCACAAAGGCACTTATCTAATCACTGACTGCACTGATGCATTTCACGAGTTACAGTGCAGTACCACTTCAGTGACAGTCACAGTCTGAGAGGTGTTATTTTTAGGTAACAACAGATAGTGCTGTCTCACGAAGAGTGTGGAACCTTCCAGCCACTGAGTGCTGAAATGATTAATCTAACTACTAAGTCAATCAACTAAAAATTAATCAACAACGAGATTGATTAAATAATGGCAACTATTGAATGGTTTATGCTTCTCAAATGTGTGGATTTGCAGTTTTGCTGTTTGTTTATTTAACTGCTAGTTAGACAAACAAGCAATTTGCAGAGGTCAGTTTGTGTTCCCAGAACTTGTGATTGGTATTTTCTGATATCTTGTAGACCAAACTGTTCACTGATTATTCAAAAAGAAAAAATAATCATTAGTTGCAGACCGGTAACAAAACATTGGGTCTCATGCGAGAACCACCCGGAAAAAAAACAGATTTTTGATCAGTGATTTAAGATAATTCATGCCATTCGCCAATTTTCTTTTGTTCAGAATTCACGAGTGATCCAGACCGGTCGAGTCATAAACAGAATGCCTGTGTAACAGAAATCAGTGGAAAATGCATAACTAAAATTACCAAAAAAATTACAAAAATAATATTTTGGTCATTATTTTGGCTTATTTTTTCTTCTTTTACTACAGGTCAGTAGTTAAAAACAAATCTGCCTCAGTGTCTTTACTGTCAGGCATAGGCGGAAATCGCGAAAAAAACAAACAAACCATTAAATAATATAATGATACATACTTAGAATAATTGTGTAAGTAATAAAACAATACAAATGCAAACAGGGCAATAAAAGTGTTTAGAAACATTTCTTCCTTCCCTCACAGTTGTTTGCTCCACTGCCTTTCCCTCTTTATCTCAGAGGAGTCTGGTGGGAGAAAACAAGTTCGAATCCTTCAGTAGTTGTGGAACTGCAGTAATGTTAAGTAGGCTGGCAGGGCTCTTTTATTCACTTTAAACATCAGATGAACTGATTATTTCGTCTTTAATACAGATGATGCTGAGTCATTAATACATTAATCATGACAAAATATTATGATAACCGATGTTTTTCCTATGAGCCCACTGTGTTATTATAACATTACCTAGCTTGTTTGATAGTAAGTCACCTTCTACAGCTAGAGATGCACTGATTGATTGGCTTGGGACTGAAATAGGCTGGTTTTCAGCTTACTCAGCAATGACCAGTGACCAGGGCCGAGCAGTGTCAAATATGCAATTTTCTGCCGGTCACATTGAACATTACAAACATGCTGCGCCGTGTTTCACATGTGTGCACAGCAGCACAGACAGTAACCTCATGTCACAGCCACACACAAATTTATTCACTAGAGTGAAGAAGACACAACGTTCACTATTTATATCTGCAGAGAAACACACAGAAAGAGACGTGTTCTTGTATCACCTTAGAAGACAACGATGGATATTTTAAAGCAGGGACCAGGTAAAGCAACAGTGAACACAGCTGTTGGTGACGATGTCATTTATACCACGGTGGCTGTATCGGTAATTAACAACAAGCCTCCTCCACACGCGGAAAAATACAAAACGCCAGTTGTCTTCAAAAACTGCTGACAAATAAACTCAGAGCAGACAGATACAGGCAGAGGGAGAGAGAGAGGTTTGTGATTAAACACAAAAGTAAGGTGGAGAATTAAGTAGAATTAAAATGGTGAGATTAGAAATAGGATATTGTATTCTTTCAAATATTTTCAATTAAAATATAGTAAAAAATGTGAACTGCAATTTATTATTTGTACAAAACAGCTCCGTATAGTGAAAATGTGAATGTTATTTAATTATTAATGTTTCATGATGACCTTACAATCGAATGGACCACAGTGAGAATAGCCAACATACTGGTGCTGATGTAGATCCTAATAAAAAAATATTTTTCCAATAAAGAAAAGTTACAAAGATGTTTGTGTATGCTGTCAGTTATAGTTCTTAGAAAGAAAGAAAATCTTAATTGGCCAAAATCAGAATCCGCAGGTCAGACCTTTAAAAATCAGTAATTGGAAAAATGTAATCTCTCTATATCTTACTACGATTAACACGGCAATAAGCCAGTGCATGAACTGATATTAGGCTAATACCGTGATCTACTGTTGTGTTGGGTTTTGCTCAGTATGATTTTTAAGTGGCAGATTAGTTGGCTTTCTGCAGTAAAATACATAAAATATATATATATAAAATAAAATATTAAAAAACCTATGAACCTAGGTCATATTTAACTATTGCTTTGTGGTGTTGGCCAGAAAAATAGTAGTAAGACTTCCCTATGTGGACATGTATCCTATAAGTACAAATTTGGCTGTATTATTTGTGTCCCCTTCAAAAATTGCTCTTGAGAAATTTTATGTTTAATGTCCCCCCCAACTGTTAGATGAAATTTACGCCCATGCTGTCAGGATGAACATCGTCCACTGTACTAGACAGTGCATTATCACCAGCTAATGTATATAGGCATATAAAGATAAAATTCACTGTCATGCCCCCTCAAACTCCTGCCATCAAGTCATGGACCACTTTGCTTTATATGTGTTTATATGTATATGTTGGTCTCTGTAATAATATTTTCTAATTGTTTCGGGTCCCTCCCATACCACCACTGACACTGATAAATCTGTTATGTTTCCTTCTGCTTATTTCCAAAAGCAGAACTTAAGGCTTTGAGGTGTGAAATTCTTCTTTTAAATCTTTGTTAAAAAAACAATTGTGAATAAGCGGAACATGCTGCCTTATATAGCAATTTAGGAGCAGTGATTATGCAAAAGATCAAATCTCATGACACAGAATTCTTTATGAAGAGGTGACATTCATCTGGGTATAACAAACAAATTATGTTTTGTGTGTGCGGTTCAGAGTTTGGTGAGTCTGACTTGGAACACTGCATTACCATATTGTACCAAGCCTCACAGAAAAAAGGTTTAGGATAAGAATACAAAAATGTTTATGCATGAGGCCCAATGTATAAAAAGGCTGTGAGCCTATAATGACACTAAACTAAACAATGAATGATTGACATGTTCATCTTGGTTATTTCAAGACTTCACTGACTCCATCTGCAGCATCACTTGGTACTGCACAACATCTGGAGTTGCTTTCATTCATGAAATACCACTGCACCTACAAGGTGTTGATGGAACACATGCATACCAGTATGCTAAAACACACACATACACAACACAAAAACTTCTGCAGGGGACCAATGTGCACACACACACATGCAAAGATATTAAATCGCCGCTGTCTCCACCATTCTAAAAATACCCTGAGCGGGGGCAGTGGCGGTGGTGGCTCTCATTCTTCAGCTCACTGATTGCTGCATCTGAAACAGCAAGTCAGTACAAGCTATATTTATAATCACACTCGCATAAAATTATAGCACCTGCAAATGAGAACAGGTATTTTTAGAAGTACGCTTGCTGAGGCAGAAAGAAAGAACATAAGAAAACAAACAAACAAACACCGGCATAAACAAAGGGAAGGTGGGGGAAACAAGTGAAATCAAGAAATTGAGAGAGGGAAAACTAGAAAAACAATGGAGAGCAACATAAGGAGAGAGAGAAAATGAGAGGAGAACGAGTGACTAAGTGATTGCTGCTGCAAGTAAATGAGCAAGTGGCTGAATGAATGAGTGACAGTGTTTGAGTCATTGAGTGACCGACTGCCTTGATGCATGATTGCATGGGGGGACTGGATGATTGTGGGGAGTGACTAAAGGTGTGTTTGCACCAAATGAGTCAACGGTGGAGTGTTTACTACTTAAATTAAATGTGTTTGGGCAGGTGACTGCGGTGCCATGTAAACTGCAGGATGGCTCATTAGAAATGACCCCGTAAACACAAACACTGATTAGTAGAAGTAGAAGGAGCTGAGGATTGGCATTGGAATTGG